GGGTTTCCGGAAATCGCGGTGACGCGGGGCGGGGTGGGCGCGGCAGCATCGCGCGACCCTGAGATCTACCTGCGCGAAGGGATCTTCCCACCGAGCGAGCGGTACCTCTGAAAATCCTCGAGCCGATCCCATCCTCATTCTCCCACTTCCTGGCACCGGAGAGTTTTGAAATCGGCCCCTTTGTGAAAGAGGCCCCTTATCCTGTGGATAGGATGGCCCCCTTTTATGCCCCACTCTCTTTCTACCTGGAGGAATCAGGTTAAAAGGAGCTGCAAACGCTTCAAAAAGCAACGAGTGCCATAAAAGCCAATAGAGCTGTGTAGACAGCGTGTGTTGAAGAGGGAGCACTGGCCCCTTCCAGGAGCTCTGCGTGACAAGGAGGTTCTGCGGGGTCAGTGGTAGTGAGCCCTGTCATAACTAGGTCTCAGGCCTCCATTATCGCCGCTCGGTCTGCGCTGCTTCTCTTGCTCTCCCAATCAGAGCCTTGGTCCAGGAGCCAGCGGAGGAGTGTCCGCGGGTGAGTGGGTGTTGAGGGGGAGAACTACTCCTGAACCACTTAGAGAAAGTGGATGCTGACAAATAGACGAGAGATGCTCTAATCAACAGCCTTTGGAGCAGACAGGACCTTTAAACGTGAGGACTCCTTGGGCTGGACTGGGCTGCCTTCTCTTCTCTTTGTATGCGGGCGGGTCCATACATGCAAGCCTCTTCTATATTTTCTCAGCTCCTACGTGTAGATCTCCACCCTGGCCTGCCCTCCGAGCACGCATCCAAGGGCCTACACAACTCTTCGCTTGGATGGCTCACGGGACCTTAGTCTCATAATGGCCAGGACTGCAAGCTTCATCTTCCTCTCAACCGATAGTCCTCTTCCCCATCTTGCTAATGCACTGCCATCCACCCATAGGCCTGTTGAGGAGGGGGAAACCTCTCCCTCTTGAGTTCTTATGGCTGGACTAATAATAAAATTGTCAGGAGACCTGACTGACAGGAGAAAAAACAATTTAATACGTCCATATGGGGATCATTAAAATGATGTTCAGAGGGTAAAGGAGGCAAGCAACTTATATATATATCTTTTTACACAAAGACACAATACATTTGTGAGGAATTGACAGGACAAAGAAACTTAGGTTTGGGATATGTAGTTAGTTGTAATTAGTGAGGAACTGAGGTAGTAAATTGGTAAATCTAACAAGGTTTGTTTACATGGGCCTCTCGGCCCTGAATTCCCTAGCTCTGGCAGTAAGGATGTCTCTATCTCCTCCTCCTACAGGGAGGGTACCTTTCATATGGGAGATTTATTTCCTGCTTTCAGAAGGAACAGGGAGAGGACGATCGAAATTTTGCTTTATAAGTCAAAACGAGTAAACTTAATTCAAAAGAATCAATATGCCATTGTGGGATGTTTTGGGGTAGCCTGCCCTGGGCCCCAACATGCCCAAGCCAGAAACATGGAATGCCCTATTTAACGCTTCCATCTCTCCCAGCTGCCGTAATCAATTTCTAAATTCTCTTGCTTCTCTTTCCTAAATGTAGAAAATCTGACAGTGTTTCTCCACCTACACTGCCAATACCCCCATTCATCCTCTCTCCTAACCACGTACAGGGTTGTACCCCCTAGGCCCACAAGCCATTCTCCCCCACAGCTGCCAGAGGGAGCTTTTGAAAGCTCCAATCTGATCATATCACTCCCCTACTTAAAGCGTACATTGTTTTTAGAATAAAATTCAAATTTTTTAGCATGGCCACTGCCTGCCTCGCCAGCTTCCCCTTCAGTTCTTCAAGTTAGCCAGGCCCCTTGCCTCCTCCAGGCCTTCCCTTGCCCAAAGCACTCCCACCCGCTGTAGCCTCTTTGCCTGGCCCACTCTTATTCACCCTCCTGATCTCAGCTGCATGTCACTTCCCCAGGAAAGTCTTCTCTCATGATACTAAACCAGATTAGCCCCTTTATTGAATATTCTTGTGATACTGGCACTACCAGTTACCAGCTGTGGGCCTTGGAAAAGTTACTTGACCCTCCTGTGCCTCAGTTTTCTGATCTGCAAAGTGGTTCTATCTCTTAGGATTGTGATAAGGATCAAATGAGTTAATGTGTGCACAGTGCTTAGGACAGTGCTTTGCAACTGGTGAGTGTTGTGTAAATGTTATCTGGTACTGTTGCCCTCTTTCTCCTTCTTAATGATAATCGCAAATATAATTCAACTAGTATTTGTTTAACTGTTCATTTATTTAATGTTTGTCTTGCCATTTTTATGGTAAGCTTCGTGTGGGCAGGTCCATGTCCATGTATACCATTCTTGTCTCCAACACTTACCACAAATGCCTGGCACACGGTAGGTATTTTAATTAATATTTATTAAATGTCTGAAGGAATCTGAAAATATTCCACCATGAAAATTGTTTAAAAACAAGTGGCCCAAATTGCACTCATTTATCCATACATTCAAGGCATAGTAGAGGCCAGTGATGGACCAGTTCTGGGTTCGATGGATGGGGAAGCAAAGATGAAGTGGACATAATCCATTTTCTCAAAGACTTCATGGCTTAGTAAGAGAAATAAGGCATGTGCACAATTAACTATAATACAAGTTAGAAGGGGTAAGTAATATTGTGAAAGGTGGGGTGTGCCAAGGTGGAGGTGTATAGAAAGAGTGGGGCCTGGGACGATGAGTCAATTTGTGGCAGGCAGAGCTGAGACAAGAGGTTTCTAGGAGTGGATGAAAACATGGACCGTGTTTCCCTTCTCTCCTTGTCAAAATCTACAACAGGCTTAAAGGTCCCCTCTTCTGGAAGCCTTCCAGGATCCCCCTGCCCACCTTCTGCCCCACTCTCTCCCTCAGCACTTCCTTCCTCTGGTCTAGCATTTAGCTCATTTGCCTTGTGCAATGGTTGATTGCATGTCTGCTTTCTCATTAGGTATCAACTTCCTCTGAGCATCTGGATGGAATTTTAGCAGTTTTGTAAACTGCCCTCAACTCTGGCAGAGTTTTGTACGTTTAGCCGGAAGTCAATCTATGTTTGTTGAATTTACAATAAAGGCAAGAAAGAGAACTTGTCAGGAAATGGGAGGTAGAGACATCTGACACTGGTGTGGGCAAGATGAAGGCGAGGGAGTCAAAGATGAAAAGGTTGGGGCCAGAGAACTTAATTTGGACTTTTTTTCCGGCAGGCATTAGGGAATTTTTGGAGAGGAGTAATACAAATAGACTGTGCTTTAAAAAGATTAATCTTCCGTTCACACATAGAGTGGATCAGAATGCGGGGCCAAGTGAGAGGCTGCCGAAATTTTCCATGTGAGAAGTAATGCGAGTCCAAACAGGGGTGCTGTCTCTGAGGACAGAGAGAAATGGAACAGAAGACAGTGGTTATTAAGGGAGCCATTCTTCCTGCTGCAAAAACCAGATCAACCTGACATGCGTCAAGGTTCTTTGGGAGGAAACGAGAAAGCAAGAGCCTGGGTTCAACTCCTGGATTTGCCACCTACTTGCTGTGTGACCAAGGATATGTCGCTGAAAATCTCTAAGCCTCAATTTCCTCATTTGCCAAATAGGGATAATACTGCCTACCTCATTGGGTTGTTCTGAGGGTTACATGTGATAACATATGTAACAGTGCCTGCCACATCACAAGCACTTAGCGTTTGATAACTGTCATTACCAACCTCAGGAGTTTAAGGTGTCACGTGAGAGTGTATATAACATTGCCTTTTAAAAAAACAGACTTTAATTTTTAGAACAGTTTTAGATTTATAGAAAAAGTGAGCAGATGGTACAGAGAGTTCCCATATACCCCAACTCCTGCACCCGGTTTCGAAGCCACCAGAAATAGCATCATGGTTCTTGATGTTGACAACAGCAGATTGGGATGGGGAGGCAGGGCACACTGGATTGGAAACCGGTGGAATGAAGGATGCATGGGGTGAGGTGATACAGGCAGCAAGTGGACAGTGCTTTAAGTTCTGCTATCAAAGGAACAGAGAAGCTGGGTTCGAGGGGGTTATGGAGTTAAGGACAATGGCTCTTCGTTTGTTTTCTATTTCTAATGGTGGGTATTGCTGATGACGTTGTCGGGAAAGTGGGAGAATTCCCACCCACCGCTTTTCCTTACGGTTCTTACGGCTGGTCAAATAATCAAAGAGGCAGGTTAGCAAGAGAAAAATCAAACAAAGTTTAATAGCATGTATACATGGGAGAAACCCGGAAGAAACTGAGTAACTCGGCCATCTGGCTAAGTCCACCTGTTTAAGTATCCTCAGCTACAGACAAGGAGGGCATAGTGATCTGGGACTTCAAAGGGGAAGAAGACAATGTACATAGAGATGGAATGCAAATGTTTGTTCAACAGGTTTTGCTAGGCCCAAAAAATGGGTTTGTTGGTGTCCTTTTATCACACCTATTTTACATCATACTATAGCTATCACATGATATGAGCTCCTTCCTGAAACAGGCCTTTTGGCAGTTTGCAGGGTAGGGGTGGGGGGGGGGGGCGGGTCGGCTGCTCTTCCTGAGTCTTTTGAGCCTTTATTGTCTTCAGCTGGAAATAGTCTGCATGCTAAAGTGGCACATCTTGGGGTGGCCTGCCCTGAACCCTGTCAGTGTCATGCAGGAGGGAAAACTGATAAGTGAGGGAATGAAGTCCTTGAGAAAGCAAGAAGGGATGAGGTCCAGAGCCAAGTGAGGGACTGGCCCTGCTAGGAGCAGAACGCTTCTTCTGTTGCAACCAGAGGAAAAGATATATGTAAATATGGTTGATTTCCTCAAAGGAGTGAGGCTGAGAATGCGGAAGTGTGGTACACTTGAGCAAACAATGTTTGAGGAGAGTCATGTTATTTATGGAGATGTACTGTTATTTTGTTGAGGATTTTGTTTCATTTCCTCTAGCAGGTATAACTAGAATAGTTGCTAAATATCTAAGAGAAAATTCTCTAGCCAACTCCCTGCCCCAGGTCTAGTGATAGGTAATTTCTGGTGGAAAAAAAAGACATGCAAATCGCCATCTTAAAATATGTGAAACTTTATTACAAAGAGAAGTGGCGTAATCAAACTACTTTGTGGTTTCATTTTCATTAAAAAAATAAACTAAGAGAAAAGGAAAAAACTAACAACTAAATAATTTATTGTCTAAGTGAGTTATAAATAAGGCATTTATGATAATTATTATTATGAAATTATACAGCCTACACATGTATGAAAACTGTAGAGCACATACTACAAAATTGCATTATCAGTGGTTAGCAGGCTGGAATCATCCTTTGGGTACCCTGTTTGATATGACATTCAAGCAAACTATGAACATAACTATTAGCATTCACATCTTGTTTTACATAAGACTATAGCTTCTATCAAATTACCTGTTTCCCCTCACCAAGATGAAAATGAGAAGGTATGAAAGGTCCCTCCACCAGAGTATTTATTAGGTCCTAATCATTCACCTGGATATCCAAATGATCAACTGCTAAGGCAGATATACTAATAGCACTCATCTGGCATCGGCATTGGCATTGGCATTGGCATTCCAGGGCAACTTGCCCTGAGCTAGGGCAATTTCTGAGTCTAGTAATAAACAATATTGCTTTTATCAATCTTACATCTAACATTTAGGCTTGCATACAGACAGTATGAATTGCCTCGTAATGGGGTTAGTTGTTCAATATTTTATTTTTGCATTTGAGCCTTGAAAACTGTAATCAAATCTTCAAAGCTGATTTAATGGTTTAAAAAATTGCCATTGGGACTCTCTTTTTTTAGCCTTTTCTTTTTTTTCCCCTCCTCCAAAAAGGGCTATGTCTTTAAGAGGCATGGAATTGAGGATTTTGTGAAATTCCTGCTGACCCAACTGGTCAGCTGCATTGATGAATTCTTCCTGGTGTTTTTCACATGATGAGACTGTTTTTATTTCATAGAAGATGGAATCTTGGAAAGATCTCCCTAACTATGAAGCATCAGACTCAAGATTCAAGCCCAGACTTGCCTCCTGCAAGGCGTCCCTCCCTCTTAGAAGCTCCTGCTAAACTCTCAGGGAGTCTGACTCACCGTGGGAGAGCCGAGCCCGCTGTTTCACAGATTCCAGCCCTCCACATTCTGAAACACAGATACGAATTCGCTAGTTGATTTGAGAAAATACAAACATTGCCAAGGAAACATATTGTAAAAATATATAACATGAAGTGAGTCATAAACATTCAAGTATCTCTACAGGTTTGCATGCAAACAGCAGCAATTTAAAAAAATGCTTATCACTTTGCCTTTTGTTGCAAACAGTGCACAGGCTCTTTCTATTAAAGGGGAAAAGGCCAAGAGAGTTGGCTAAAGCCTCCAGAAAATTCATTTGGTTAAATTCCATCAGCAGATACTGATTTAGACATTTCCATGCACTCCTCAGAAAGTTATTTTCCCTGGAATAACTAAGGGAAGCATTTTACATAACAGTGCTGAAAACTTAGTGCCGTTAGATGTCTGAGGCAGTATAAACTCTTTCCCAAAGGTGTCCATCTAGAAACCATCTAGAAATGGTTGGCTAAGGAAGCACTGTCTAATCTAAGAATTACGAAAGATGGAAACTAAAGGCATCCTTCAGAGGTTCTCCCCACTTCAGCGAATTCATTCAGAGAACAGACTGAGCCTGTTTTCTCAGTCACGCCCGTTCTCCTCTTTCTGTATTTTATACCTGAGAATTATTCACAGCCCATTTAAAAATAAATAAATAAAAGCAAATCGATTTGATTGTGTCCCAGAGCATCAGAGCCTGGTCCAGGATACAGTGTGAGCCTTCCTCGGTGAACGATGTCTTGTCCAGTTTCCCTGGTGAGGAAGACCAGGCCGTTCACAGAGCATCCGTGGGGAGCGCGCAGGACTGGACTTCCCGGTATGCTGCCCGCATCCTTGCAGAGTGCAGTCTGAGGGAGAGAATCACCGTGGAGATCAGGAGGAGGAGTCCAATGATGAAAAGGATGACCAAGGCTGCTTTGGCTCCTCTAGGACCCAGATTCTTGCCAAAGAAATAGAGCTGCTCCTTGCCAGATTCTTCTGTGAAAAGAACAAGTGAGGTGTCAGGCCTCTGCCTTTCCCTGGGGGGTGAACACTGACCATTCACCTGCAGGATTCGGGGAGGGATCATTACCATTGGAGGGCACCGTGGCCGGCTGTGATGCTCCTCCAGGAGACTTGGTGGAGTAAGGAATCCGGTTATCTGGACAAAGAAGACAAATTGATTGTTTTATAAACAACGGAAGTCAAAGTGGATTCTTTTCATGGCATGAGTTGTTTCAAGAATTATGTCATTTCACCAATGAGGACTTTATCCCATCAGTATCTGCAAGTCTTCCTTGGATTCCCACTATGGTACTCTTCAGAGCAGTACACATGCTGTTCCTATCCCATCCACCTTTCAAGCTTCTGCTGACCCCTTAAGATCCATCTGAAGCATTATGGCCTCTATGGAATCTTGGCTCATATCCCCAAACTATTAACCATTGCCTCCTACTGCTGCCATTGAATCCTGTACACTGCATGCTATTTTGGCAAGTATCATATTCTATCATAGTTATTATTTATATATCTGTCTCTCTTACGTGAATCTGAGCTCCTGATGGGGTCTCTCCTGCCTGCTGTTTTCAGGGTCTATAGGAGGGCTGGGCTATCACCTAGCATCACTGACAGACAATAGTACCTATGTTCCGAAGGACCGTATAGGTTGTCTCCATGCCAGCATGGATGTGGTCAGACACGTGACAATGTAATAGCCATGTCCCTGGGTGATCTGCAAACAGTTCGATGGTTTGGAATGTCCCGGGAAAGAGATCATACACGTCTTCTCGGTACGATTTATCTATCTGTATAAGGAAGGAAAAAATAAAGAGCAGAAATCAATCAAATCGAGAATAGAAACATAGTAGAGATAAATCATAGAAACCAAAAGCTGGTTCTTTGAACAGATCAATAAAATTGATAATCCTTATGGTAGCCAGCCTCCACAATGGCCCCCAATGATTCTCACCTGCTGGTATCCATAACCTTTGTAGTCCCCTCCTACATTCTGTGAGGGTTGGTCTGTGAGACCAATAACATATGGCAGAAGTGATGGCATTCTACTTCCAAGAATCTTAGGCTCTCTCTCTCTTGCTTTCTCTTCTTGGATCACTCACTCTGGGGGAAGCCAGCTCCCACGCCATACCCACATGTTGAGGAACTGAAGCCTCTAGTGAATAGCCCTGTGAGTGAGTTTGGAAGTGGATCCTCTAGCCCCAGTCAAACCTGATGACTGCAGCTCCAGCTCACATATTGATTGCAGCCTCATGAAAGATGCTGAATCAGAACCAACTAGCTAGACTACTCCCAGATTCCCAACTCAGAGAAATTGTAAGATAATAAGTGTTTGTTGCTTTAGGCCACTAAGTTTTGGAGTAATTTGTTATGCAGCAATAGATAACTAATACAAACCTCTAGACAAACTGAAAAAAGACACAAACTACAAAAATCAGGAATGAAAGAGAGGACATCACTAAGACCTTATAGACATTAAAAAGGATAATAAAGCAATATTATGAACAACTGTTTATCAATGAATTCTACAACTTGAATCGATGAATTTGTTAGGATGAAAACCGCTGAAGATCACTATTCAGGTTATCTATTAAAGAAACTGAAATTATATCTATTAAAGGAACTGAAATTGTTTTAAGACCTTCCGACAAATTAAACTCCAGGTCCAGATGGCTTCATTGGCAAATGCTACCAAACATTTAAAGAAGAAATAACACCAATTCTAAGTAAACTCTTGCAGAAAATGGAAGAGGGAGGAATACCAACTCATTTTATGAGGCCAGCATTACCCTGATACAAAAACCAGACAAATACTTTACAAGAAAAGAAAGCTACAACCAATATTCTTCATGAACACAGATGCAAAATTCCTTAACACTAGCAAATTGAATCCAGCAATATATAAAAAGAATAATGCATCATGGCAACTGGTGTTTGTCATTATGGTTCAACATTTTTCTCAAAGCTGGTTGTCAAAGCTGGGTCAACATTTGAAAATCAATCATTGTAATTTACCAGTGTACTAAAGAAAATCATCTATAGACTAAAGAAGAGAAATATGATAATCTCAATAGATGCAGAAGAAGCCTTTGATAGTATTTAGCATCTGTTCATGATAAAAAAAGAAAACCCTCAGCAAACCAAGAATAGAAGGAAACTTCCTCAACTTGGTAATAGGATCTACTAAAAACCGACAGCTAAGTTTAAATTCAATGGTGAATGACGATGCATTCCCCCTAAGATTAAGAATAAGGCAAGGATGTCCACTTTCACCACTTATATTCAACAGTATAGTAGAGGTCTTAGCCATTGCAATAAGGCAAGAAATAAAAGGCATACTATTTGAAAATAAAAAAATAAAATGTCTCTATTCACAGGCAACATTATTGTCTACGTAGGAAACCATCCCCCCAAAATCTACAAAAAAGCTCCTAGAAGTAGTTTAGCAGAGTTGTGGGATACAAGATCAATTATGCAAAAATCAATTATATTTGTCAATGAGCAATTAGAAATTGTCAATGAGCAATTAGAAATTGAAATGAAAACAGTATCATTTACACTATCACCAAAACCCATAATATACTTAGGTAATAATCTAACAAAATCTATGCAAGATTTGTATGCTGAAAACTATAAAACACTATGAAAGAAATAAAAAAAAATCTAAAAAATAGTCAGATATGCCATGATCATAGATTGGAATGCTCAATATTGTTAAGATATCAATTCTTCCCTAAACCAATGTATAGAGTCAATGCCATTCCAATCACAACCCCAGCAGGAAGATTTGTGTGTGTGTGTGAGGAAGATTGGCCTTTAGCTAACATTCCTTGATGTTATGTGGGATGCCACCACAGCACGGCTTGATGAGCAGTACTAGGTCCATGCCTGGGATCTGAACCTGTGAACCCCAGGCCCCTGAAGCAGATGACATGAACTTAACCACTACGCCACTAGGCCGGCCCCATGAAGGAATTTTTAAATCAAAATCAACAAGCTGTTTCTAAAATTTATATAGGAAGGCAAAGATCTATAATAGTTAACACTATCACCACCTGATTTTAGGACAGTGTGGCATTCAAGAAAGGACAAACATATAGATCAATGTATCAGATTAGAAAGCCCAGAAGTAGGCCACATATATATGATCATTATGATTTTGACACCATGGGAGAAAGGGTAGTCTTTTCAATGTATGGTGATGGAGGGAACAATTGGACATCTATATGCAAAAAATAAACCTTGTACAATATATGTAAATTATCTGGATCAGAGGCCTAAATATAAAACCTAAAACTATAAAACTTCTAGAAGAAAACCTTTGTGACCTTAAGTTAGGCAAAAAATTCTTACATATGACACCACAAGCATGATCCATAAAGTTGGACTTCATCAAAATTAAGAATTTCTGCTTTTTGAAAGATAATGTTAAGGGAACAAAAAGGTAAACCAGAGACTGGGAGCAAATATTTATAGAGCACATAGCTGGTAAAGGATTTATATCCAGAATAGATTAAGCCCTCAAACTCAACAATAAGGAAATAAACAACCCAATTAAAAAATGGGCATAGAATTTGGACACTACACCAAAGAAGGTTTACAGATGGCAGATGATAAATAAACACATGAAAAGACGCCAATATCATTAGCCATTAGGAAAATGCAAATAAAAAATGAGATACCACTACACACTTAACATGATGGCAAAGCAAAAATAAAATAAAAATGGAAAATACCAAGTGCCAATGTGGATGTGTAATAAGTGGCATTCTCATGCATTTCTGGTGGAAATGCAAAATGGTCTGCGGAAAATCATTTGGCAGTTTCTTGTAATGTTAAGCATACACTTACCACATGGCCTACCAGTCTAACTCCTAGGTATCTTCTCAAAGGAAATGAAAACTTAGGTTCACACAAAAACACGTACACAAATGTTTATAATGACTTTACTGTAATAACCAAAAGCTGGAAACAATCTAAATGTCCTTCAACTGGGGAATGAATAACCAGGCTGTAATATGTATATCCATAGAACGGAATACTACTCAACAATCAAATGGAACAAACTATTGATATACACAACAGGATGGATGCAATTCAAATGCCTACGCTAAATGAAACAAGCCAGATTCAAAATGCTACAGACTGTACGATTCTATTTACGTGACATTTCAGAAAAAGGCAAAACTGTAGAAACAGAAAACAGATCAGTGGTTGCCAGGGGTTAAGCATGGGGAAGCAGCTCGCTCTAGAGGGTGCAATGGGGACAGTTTAGGGGGTGATAGAGGTGTTCTATATTGTGATCAGTGTTGGTTACATCACTGTATGTGCTGATCAAAACAGAACTGTACACTAAACAGGGTGAATTTTATTCCATGTAAATTATACTTTATTTTTTAAGTTTATATGGATAGGAAATAATTTTGTATGTATATAAAATAATTTTTATAATTTCATATAAAATAATTTTTATAATTTTATTAGATTTTAATATAAGTTTTTAAATGTAGGTGGAAAAGTCAAGTTCTGAAAAGCAGCATAGCCATCTAATATGTGAAAATATAATCATTGCAGGCTAATACTTTGTGTCTTAAACTATGTTGAATTCAATATACAGAGAGGAAAAGATATTAGATGTTTTATTAAAGTTACTGTTTATTCCTGTATAACTAGAAAAAGACCAATGCAGGTTTTCCCCACAGATAAGATGTGATTATTCTTTTCTAGTCTACTTCCTTGTAGACTGCACTGAGCACCTGAGATGACAGACTATTTGGACCTTATGCCTGGAGATTCTGAATCAGCAGGTCTAGGGTGGGGCCTGGCAATCTGTTTCTTAAGCAGCTCCCCAGGTGCCTGTCTATGCAGCCAGCACTACCCATATGGTACAGCTTGATGCTAGAAAGGCAGGAGGCTGCACATGGTCTGGCCTAGCTCACTAGGGCAAAAGTCAAGATAAAGTTTTAGGCTCAAGCCAAAGCTTGAAATATCTCCTTTACTAGATAGGGCTATTCTGTTGGCTAATCACATAGAAAAGAAAGGGAAATGGAAAGGGAAAGAAAAAAAGGAAGGGAGAAGAAAAGAGACAAAATACTATGGGTGTTTGCATATACAATATTAACAGCATAATCGAGAGTGGTCAGAATTATCCCCATGTAACTGGTGAGAAAACTCTCATCTGAAGCTTGGAGAGTTTTCTACAAGCACAATAAATATATGTACATATTAAGCAATATATACCAGGAGAAAGGCATAACCACATTATTCTATTCCATTCTCTAAGATGAACCATCACCCCTCACAAGGCTTATTGTCAAATAACTCTCTTATTTCACAGTGGAAATGCATTGAATCTATTAGTTGAAAGTCTTCCCCAAAGCATGTTCCTTATACTTACTTTGAAAAGAAAGCTCTCAGCATGATAATGGATGGTATGTATGTCCACTTCACTTCCCATTCCTATCAAGTACCAGTTTGTCATTGTACCTTCATTCATGATGAGGCCATGAAGATTCCCAAAAATCTTTCCATTAATAGCTAGAAAGGTGAAAAGAAAATAACCTTTGATTAGTGAGAAGACACCCATTACTTAATCTGGTTTTAGAAATGGTTCAAGAAGATCTGTAGGTCACCAATATTTTCATTTGCTGGATAAACATGTAAAAATCTCTCTCACATTTACCAATGTCCCCACCGTTCTAAACCCCAAATTCAGATTACTAAGAAATCCTTGTTTATTTGGCACATTCTCTCTATGAAGTGGATTACAGACTCGTTTGTAAAGAAGCCAGGTTTATACCATTCAACTGATGAGTGGACTAAAGGACAGAGAATCAAGTTCATATAAATAAAAATTGAATGAGTTAGAAGCTATTTCCTTAATATTTCACTTTCTGAGAACTAGTTTGGAGCAAGTTCTTGAGCCTGGCTGAATCTCCAGAAGAAGGAAATCTTCACATAGGCTGAACCCATGACCTTACAATGACCAAACCAAGCTCAAGCTGGGTTGACACGATGGGTCTCTCACTTCTCTGGTTTCTACTAACTTTTTATTTTGTGCATCATGACACAACCAAGTGAGTTACATTCATTAAAAAAAGAGAGCATACTAAAAAACTTTTGGGAGAAGAAAGCAAAATTGATAAGGGAAAGAGTAGCTGAATCAGAGATCAGGCTATTATATTCTTTTTTTTTTTTTTTGGACAAAGATTAGCCATGAGCTAACATCTGCTGCCAATCCTCCTCTTTTTGCTGAGGAAGACTGGCCCTGAGTTAACATCCGTGCCCATCTTCCTCTACTTTATATGTGGGACACCTGCCACAACATGGCTTACCAAGTGGTGCCATGTCCGCACCCAGGATCCAAACCAGCAAAACCCAGGCTGCCAAAGTGGAACATGTGAACTTAACCACTGCACCACCAGGCTGGCCCCAGGCTATTATATTCTAATCAATGTTAGCAGTTAACTAGCTTTGTGACCTTGGGAAAGGCCTATCTTTCTGTATACTTTTGGTCAAAAGTAGATATTGGCGAGAGTATAGATTTTTCAATTAGAACACGTTACTCTCACTTTAAAAAAACTGCCTTAAATTACATAGAATTAAATAACATAGACACATTAAAATAGAAATTTTGTAATGGAGGCAGCTGAAACTCTAAAAAAAGAAACCAAACAAATTCTGGAGATGAAGAACACAATGAATGAGATAAAAAAAAAAAAAAAAATCTAGAAACCTTCAAAAACAGAGCTGACATTATGGAGGATAGAATTAGTAATTTAGAGGACAGAAATATAGACATGCTTCAGGTGGAGGAGAGAGAACTAAGAAAAAAAATGAAGAAATTCTTTCAGAAATATCTGACTTAACTAGAAATACAACATAAGGATTATAAGTATTCCAGAGGGAAAATTGAGGGAGAAAGGAGCAGAGAGCTTGTTCAAAGAAATAATAGCTGAGAACTTCCCAAACCTGGGGGAAAAACTGAACTTACAGATACATGAAACCAATAGAACTCCTAATTACATCAATGCAAAAAGACCTCAAGGCATATAATAGTAAAACTGGCAAAAGTAAATGACAAACAAAAAATATTAAGGTCAGCAAGGCAGTGAAAAATAATCTACAAAGGAACACCTATCAGGCTTTCAGTGGATATCTCAGCAGAAGCCTGAAAGACTACGAGAGATTGGAATGATATATTCAAAATACTGAATGACAAAAACTTTTAGCCAAAGATACTCTATCCAGTGAAACTATCATTCAGATACAATGGATAAATAAAATCTTTCCCAGATAAACAAAAGCTGAGGGAGTTCATTAACACTAAAGCTCCCTTACAAGAAATGATCAAGGATGACCTCATACCTGAAACAAAAAGGCAAAGGTTTACAAAGCCTTGAGCAGGGAGATAAAGAGACAAAATCAGACAATTGCAGCTCTCTATCAGAAAAGGTTAGCAAACAAGTATAACATAGAACATAAAGGGAAGAAAAGCACCAACAAATAACTATAAACACTTCATATTAATCATAAACTCACAAGACAAAACAGAATAATTTGTGATAACAATAACTTAGAAGGGGGGCCGGCCTGGTGGCACGGTGGTTAAGTGTGCATGTTCCACTTCTTGGCAGCCCGGGGTTTGCCAGTTCGGATCCTGGGTGCGGACATGGCACTGCTTAGCACGCCATGCTGTGGTAGGCATCCCACATATAAAGTAGAGGAAGATGGGCATGGATGTTAGTTCAGGGACAGGTTTCCTCAGCAAAAAAAGGAGGACTGGCAGTAGTTAGCTCAGGGCTAATCTTCCTCAAAAAAAAGAAAAAAAAATATATATATAATAACTTAGAAGGGGAAGAGGTAAGGGATGGAACCTACTTAGGCTAATGGAAACAAGAGGCTATGAGAAAATGGACTATCTAATCTATGACATCTTTTATACAAACCTCATGGTAACCACTAAACAAAAAATCAGGGCAGAGACACAAATCAAAAATAAAGAGAAAACTGAGAAAACCATCACAGAAAACCACAGAACTGAAATGGGGGTCAGGAATACAAGGGAAGAAAAAAACACAAAATATAAACCAGAAAACAAGAGATAAAATGGCAGTATTAAGCCCTCATAAATCAATAATTTCTCTAAATGTAAATGGATTGAATTCTCTTATCAAAAGATGCAAAGTAGCTGGATGTATTAAAAAAGAAGACCCAACAATATACTGCCTCCAGGAAACACACCTCAGCTTTAAAGATAAACACAGGCTCAGAGTGAAGGAAATGACAAACAAAAGAAAGTAGGTGTTGCCATACTAGTATCAGACAAACCAGACTTCAAGATAAAAAAGGCAACGAGAGACAAAGAGGGGCAGTATATAATAATAAAAGGGACATTCCACCAAGAGGGCATAACACTTATGAATATATATGCACCTAACAGAGGAGTGCCAAAGTATATAAAGCAACTATTAACAGACCTAAAGGGAGAAATTAACAGCAACACAATAATAGTAGGGGACACCAACACTCCACTTCCATCAATGGATAGATTGTCTAGACAGAAAGTCAACAAGGAAATAGTGAGCCTAAATGAAACACTGGACCAAATGGACTTAACAGAGATATATAGAACATTCCATCGAAAAACAGCAGAATACACATTCTTCTCAAGTCCACATGGAACATTCTCAAAGATAGACTATGTGTTGGGAAATAAGGCAAACTTCAATAAATTTAAGAAGACTGAAATCATATCATGCATCTTTTCCAACCACAATGCTATGAAACTAGAAATCAACTACAAGAAAAAAGCTGGGAAAGTCATAAATATATGTAGACTAAACAACATGCTACTGAACAACCATTGGCTCAATGAAGAAATCAAAGGAGAAATAAAAAATACCTGGAGACAAATGAAAGTGAAAATACATCATACTAACTCTTGTGGGATGCAGCAAAAGCAATTCTAGGAGGGAAATTCATAGCAATACAGGACCACCTCAAGAAACAAGAAAAATCTTAAGTAAGTAATCTTAAGCTACACCTAACAGAAATAGAAAAAGAATAACAAACAAAGCCCAAAGTCAGCAGAAGGAGGGAAATAATAAAAATTAGAGCAGAAATAAATGAAATAGAGACCGAAAAAAAATAAAAACAGTAGAAAAGATCAATGAAACTAAGAGTTGGTTCATTAAGAAGATAAACAAAATTGACAAACTCTTAGCCAGACTCACTAAGAAAAAAAAAGAGAAGGCTCAGATAAATAAAATTAAAAATGAAAGTGGAGAAATTACAACAAATACCACAGATACACAAAGGATTATAAGAGAATACTATGAAAAACTATATTCCACAAATTGGATAACATGAAGAAATGGATAAATTCTTAGACTTGTAGAACCTCCCAAAACTAAATCAAGAAGAAATAGAGAATCTGAATAGACCAATCACAAGTAAAGAGATTAAAACAGTAATCAAAAACCTCCCAAAAAATTACCTAAAGCAATCTACAGATTCACTGCAATCCCAGTCAGAATCCCAATGACATTCTTCACGGAAACAGAACAAAGAAATCTAAAATTTATATGGAATAACAAGACCCTGAATAGCTAAAGCAATCCTGAGAAAAAAGAACAAAGCTGGAGGCATCACAATCTTTGACTTCAAAATATACTACAAAGCTATAGTAATCAAAGCAGCATGGTACTAGCAGAAAAAAACAGACACAAAGATAAATGGAACAGAATTGAAAGTCCAGAAATAAAACCACACATCTATGGATAGCTAATCTTTGACAAAGGAGCCAAGAACACACAATGGAGAAAGGAGTCTCTTGAATAAATGGTGTTGGGAAAACTGGACAGCCACATGCAAAAGAATGAAATTAGACCATTATCTTACACATACACAAAAATTAACTCTAAATGGATTAAAGACTTCAATTACATTGAAGATCTTAAACCATAAAACAACTAGAAGAAAATATAGGCAGTACACTCTTTGACTTCAGTCTTAGGAGCATCTTTTCAAACACCACGTCTACTCAGGCATGGGAAACAAAAGAAAAAATAAAAAAATGGGACTACATCATACTACAAAGCTTCTGCAAGGCAAAATAAACCACGGACAAAATGAAAAGACAACCCACCAACTTGGAGAAGATATTTTCAAATCATATATCCAACAAGGGGTTAATTTCCAAAATAAATTAAAAACTCAAAAAACTCAATGACAACAAAACAAACAACCTGATCAAAAAAATGAGCAGAGGATATGAGTAGACATTTTTCCAAAGAAGATATACTGCTGGCCAACATGCACATGAAAAGATGTTCAACATCCCTAATTATTAGGGAAATGCAAATCAAAACTACAATGAGATATCACCTTACATCCATCAGAATGGCTATAATTACCAAGACAAAAAATAACAAATGTTGGAGAGGATGTGGAGAAAAGGGAACCCTCATACACTGCTGGTGGAATGTAAACTGGTGCAGCCACTATGGAAAACACTATGAAGAACAGTAATCAAAAAATTAAAAATAGAGATAGCATGCGATCCAGCTATCCCATTGCTGGATATTTATCCCAAGAACTTGAAATCAACAATTCAAAGTGATTTACCTACCCCTGTGTTTATTGCAGCATTATTCACAATAGCCAAGACATGGAAGCAACCCAAGTTACCATAAACTGCTGAATGGATTAAAAAGATGTGAAATATATGTATATACTACTCAGCCATGAAAAAGACAAAATTGTCCAATTTGCAACAACATGGATGGACCTTGAGGGTATTACGTTAAGTGAAATAGAGAGAAAAACACCACGTGATTTCACTCACATGTGGAAGATAAACACATGGATAAAGAGAACAGATTAGTGGGTATCAGAGGGGAAGGGAGTTGGGGGGTGGGTGAAAGGGGTAAAGGGACACATATATATAATGATAGATAAAAATTAGACTATTGGTGAGCACAATGCAGTCTATACAGAAACTGATAAATAATCATGTCCACCTGAAATTATACAATGTCATAAACCATTATGATCTCAATAAATAATTGAAAAAAATTATTATTAAAATAATTGAAAAAATAAACCAATAAAATAATTGGAAAAAAAACAGGCCATTAAATTTGATCAACTAGAAATTGTGGTGTGTTCTTACAGAAATATACCAATCAGTGATGATTCACTTTTTAAGAATTACTTCACAGTCTTATAGCTTAGGGAGCTCAGCATTCAGAGATAGAGATCTCTAAACAGTTGATCCAAAGCCTCAATAAACCTTGGTGGCAGCCAACCAATGGCTTGGCTGTTTCCCCATGAGGGAAAGCTTTAAGGGATTTCTTCACTCCAGGTGCCCCTGAAATGGGAAAAGTCTCAGAGAAGGAGGCTGGGGACCACCTACAGTTAGAGCAGGCTCTATGAGTTTATCTCAACAAGGGTCTTCTTTTAAACCTCTGATATACCATGCATTTTGTTGCTCTCTTCAAAATCGTCAGTACGCTTAAAATCTCGTGGATCTTTATTGAGATACTTCTTAATATTGTCATCCAGATACCAAGATTCATTCTCATTAAATATCAAAAACAAGAGAACAAATTCGTAGTCAACATCACTTCTTCTTCCCTTTTCATTCAACACTCCTTCTCTGCATGTAATCAGAGGACCCATCAAACCACTATACGTATCCTGAAAAAAAAATAAAGTGAATTAGAAGAACCGTTAAATAACTAAATAATGCAGATTAGGTGCTAGTAAGAAAGTCATTGTAAAAAGACTATTGACCACGAAATAAGAAGAATCTGGGTGATCTTTATGAAAATTTTGGAGTATACCCAAAAATTTGCCACAAAATGAGCTCCTTAAGGCTGAGACTGTCATTCATTCATTACTAAGTCTCCAGAATATAGCCCAGAATCTAGTACATAGAAGGTGTGTTGAATAAATGAATGTTTATTTCTTTTCCTGTCTGCTTTCAAGTGAGACTGTATTTATAGCTATACAGATGCTTATATTCCACTTTCTATGGGTAAAAGTGGACAGGGTGATTAATAAATGATATGGGACCATGGATGACCTCCATGTCAAGTTGTTCAGCCCTGAACTTTCTTTGAGGAAAAACTGCCACATTTCCAGTTGCCTCCTTAGAGAGTCCTCCTGGATGTGTTTCCTGCAACAATTCAAACAACTGAGCATTTCTAAAATGAATTTTATTATTTCCCTCAAACCATTTCCTTCTTCCGAATTCTCAACTTTTGTTAATAGCACTGTGATTTTCACTGTCATTTAGGTCAGAAAACTTGATTTCAATGTTTAATTTCTCCTTCTTCCTCACTTTGTCCCATCTTGTTTGCTGTCAAATCATACATTTTGTTTCCTTTCACAATGCCCCTCCATCGTGTGACTTCCTTTCCATTCCATTTGCCACCCTTCTAGTGTAGGATCTTAACACCTCACCCTGGACTAGCAATTGTCTCCTCTCTGGTCTCTGGCTCACCTCACCTCCAGCCCATCCTGTTTACCTCTATCAGATTAAACTCCTCACTGCCATATCTAGAAGTCTTCAGTGATTTTCCAGTGAGAGTCCTACTAAATAAAATACAAATCCTCCACAGGTACTCAGGCCCCTTGTGGGCTCTCCCAATGGACTTTTCTAGCTTAAGCTCCCCCACTGCTTCCTTTTGTACCCTATAGGATCGCCAATGGGACTCTCAAGATTTCCCAAACACACTTTCTACTTTCCTATTTTCAGCTTTGCTCATAATGTTCTCTCTTTCTAGACTCTCTTTCCAATGCCTTCTATATAGCTCTGCACTCCTATAGAACTCACCAAAATCAGAGTTGTATTATAATTATGAGTGTGCACATGTATTATTTCCCCCAAAGATTCTAAGTTCCTTAAAGGCAAGAATATTTGCATCCCTCATAGAACTTGGTGGGGTCATTTGTACATCACAAGTGCTCAATAAATATTTGTTGGGATGCACAAAGGAATAAACAAATACATGTAGGTTTCCCATAATTCCAGTAGGTAAGCTTATTTTTTCAAGCATCTTGTACGTCTCTCCTGAACTCTTGCACTATCCAATACAACTCAAGGACATTAATGCAGCCATCTATTAGTAAAGAGAAAGGTTAAGATAATCCTTTACTTTTTTTTAATAATGGATAATGCTTACGTTTTATATCGGATTTGACTTTACTTTGGACTTTGATTTATGACATATAATTAAAGATTAGTTGTTTTACACACACATATCTGACTCAAATTCAATATTAAATCTTTGACTTTAATTTCTACGTAAAGTTAGCTTTTTTATCATTCAAATAGTTAGCAATTTCAGTTACCATGTTTGGAGTGTGCCATCTTTCCTGGGCCCTGACAGCTGTGATAATGCCTTTTAAAATGACATATTTCACACATCAAAAACCCTGGTGTAAATTATATTAAAATATATTTTTATTTTATAGTTATCTACTTACATATCCTCTTTTGCTCCAAACTACACTGCAAGTTCTAAATTTCGTAATTGAAATATTGGGATTTGGTTTTTCCCTCTATAGATCAAAGGTCAGCAAACCTTTTTTGTAAAGTGTCAGATGCTAAATATTTTTTACTTTGCCAGCCATATTGTTTCTCAACTACTCAACTCCACCATGGATGATGTAAACAAACAGACATGCCGTTGTTTGCGACCCCTGCCCTAAACCCTAAACACCACTTCACATACACCCACAGAATTGTAATAACCTGAATAGTCAACTGAGAGCCATATTACTTAAGCATTATGGTTGCTCTCTTCACTTTACCTTCACAAAGTTTACTGTTGAATAGTAAACCCATGGAATACAATTTGGGTCAGATGGCCCTGGACCGGATCTTTTAGGGACATTCCATCTGTAAGTTCTTATTTCTCCTGAAATAAATAAGAAATAGGCAGAATTTACTAGTGTCACCTGTTCCCGATGATTTGCCTGAAGAAATACAAACAGATCTTTATGTATTTTGCTTAGTGTTTGTTGCTGGGGGGAATTATCCATTCATTAGAAATGTTCCCATTAAACTCGTATCTTGATTTTCTGAAGTTTCAAACTGGCAGATTTTTCATTTCAGATGACAGCCTTCCCTCTAGTTTGCCCTTTCTATTGTCACCTGATGTCTTTTCAGGAAATGCAGACATTTTATACCTCACTGCTTCTTCTACTCAAATTTTGTATCTCCGTCCCAAGAGCTATACTTGAACACACTTCAGTTACTGTGAGTCTCAGCCTTGGCTTCTTATGGAACCATCAGGGAGTTTGGTAAGCTCTCACTGCTCAGGCCTCACCCCAAACCAGTGAAATCAGAGAATCTGGGGTCTGGGACTAGGGCATCAGTATTGTTTTAGAGCTTCTTAGGTGATTCTAATGTGCAGGCCGGTGAGATCTAGTTAGAACCGGAGATAATCAGAAAGACTTAGGACTTCCTATTTACCCTATTTATCCAAGCTACTTAACCCTGCTGGCCTTTAGCTTCCTTACTTATAAAGTGAGTTAGTCATCCCAGTTTTCAGATTGTTGTGAAGATTAAACGAAATAAAATATCTAGGATAGTGCCTCCCACGGAAGGCAGTCAATAAAATGTTCATTTGTATGTATACTAACAACAAATATGCAGTCCCTGTGTGTAGGCACCACATCTATGTATCTTTTGTGGCTGACCCAGAGTCTTACAGAGGAATCATAAATAAACTCACATAAATTAGCGAGACAATCACATTGTAAAAGTCTCAAAAGTCACATTTAAATCATTATTTCCTTTTGAACCGTGTCCCATTCCCACCATAATGGGACAAATAACCTATAGCTGAATGTGAGCCACAAAGCAAAACAAAAGTAATGCTTCCATGGAACTTTACTCCACATTTGGTCATATGCCAGTGGGTTGGCAATACAACTTCAGGTCTAATTTCCATTAGGTTTCATTATAGCACCTATGCCTTGTTAATCACAAGATAAACTGCTGATATTTAGCTTCCTAAATGCAAGTGGCTACAGGGGTGGTGTTATTAAATTTGGAACATTCCACTGTTCACCCCAATGGGGAGCACAGCTCTAAACAAAAAGAAGATGCTCAGTAGATGTCTGTTGAGTTATTTAATAAAAGAAGAAGAAGGAGAAATTTGATAGAAGCTGCTTACTTTTCCTATGACGCTAGTTGGCTCTTATCTCATGCATGCCCAGATTAACCTTTCTTCTCCCACTTGCCTAGACATCCTGCTCAAGTTAGTTTCTTGCTCCTATCCCCAATCCCTGGGCTCTCCCAAACCTTTCAGCCTTGTCAGAGACCCTTGTGGGGATTCTCTTCCTTTGAGTTCCAATAAGGAAAATGCTCCTTTGCCATTTTCTAATCATTTTTCTCCCCACTCCCATGGCATCCATATCAAGGACTCTTTGAATGCCAGTCAGCATAGAGGAGCTGTGTCCCTTGCCAGTCTTCACCGTCAGTACAACAGCCTGTGAGCAATCACCCCGGCTTGCCCACAGCCCTACCAAAGCCCCCATGAGGGCCTGATTGGCACCTTTCTTGCTCCCTCCAGAGTCACTTTCAACCATCAAAAATGAATAACTTTACTTAATGGCCTTTTTGACCCATTTAAAACCCTTTCCCTCGGGGCCGGCTCTGTGGCCGAGTGATTAAGTTTGCACGCTCCGCTGCAGTGGCCTACGGTTCGGATCCTGGGTGCGGACATGGCACCGCTCATCAGGCCACGTTAAGACGGCATCCCACATCCCACAACTAGAAGGACATGCAACTAAGATATACAACTGTGTACGGGGGGGTTTGGGGAGATAAAGCAGAAAAAAAAAAAGGAAGATTGGCAACAGTTGTTAGCCCAGGTGCCAATCTTTAAAAAAAAAAACCTCTTTCCCTCTTCATCAAAGCAAGACACAATCATTATAGAAAATCTAGAAAATCAAAAAAGTGTGAGGTCGAAAAGACACTCACCCAATTACTACTCAAAATATCACCATGAAGATATAACCATCACTAACATTTTGGCTTATTTCCCTTCTGGTCTTTCTTCTACATTTTGCTTAACATGATGCCACAAGTCTTTCCCATGACATTAGAACCTTCTTAAATATCATTTAATGGCTGCAAAATAGCCCACTGTAAGGATATTCCAAAATTTGCTTAACTATTTCCCTATGGATAGACATTTAGGAGTTCATGAGAAGTTTCTTGAAGCAGCAAAACACAGGCTTCTGATACAGGGGATGCGGTGGGGTGGGGAGAGGCAGGAGAAGTTGGAAAAGTGGCTAATGAAGATTGTCCATCCCCAAACCCCGTCCTTGTATAGGTACTATGCTGACTTTTTCTAGTGATGCATTAGATTGTTTTCTTTTCTTCCTTTTATGCATCTTTAATTTTTTTAAGTTTATATGACCTTTATTATAATATCTGTAGTGCTAAGCATTATAATGTTATTATACATAAGAGGTAAAATGGAATATAACTCCCCTATAATTATATCTATGGTTGCTGTCAAGTTCGTAATTGAAGGTCACAGTGGCTCTTGACATTTATTACAACTGCACTTCAAATGCGTAAATGTGATGAGAAGCCCCTTAAATTGTGAGATCTTCTCTCCCTTCTATGCATCTTTTAAAACCCAACTGGAGTTCTACCTCCTTTATAAAGCTTTCCCTAATTGCTTGTAATTTATCAATCAATCTTCATGAGATTTCCTTCCCTGAAAGTTTTATAAACACTTCCAGATACATTCCTGAAATTTTTCACCACTTAGAGTGTCATCCTGTATAATCTGCTATGTAACCAAAAGGATTCACCTTGGTTTGGTTTTTTTTCTTTCAAACTCATTTTAACCATCTTAAGAGAAATGTGTGGTTAAGAACTCAGGTTCTGAAGTCAAACTGGGGTTCCACCATTACTAACGTACAACCTGGTCAAGTTCTTTACCCCTCTGTGCTTCATCACCTGTTAACTGGACATAAAAATATCATATTTCATCAATTATAAGATGCACACTTTTCACATTTTAACAAAACTGAATTTAGGATGCGCTTTCAATCAGTAGCATGTTAAGGTTTAACTGGTGGCCTTTTTTTTCTTTTATTAGTAACGGATAAAATAATGATGGATATTGTAATCACTGGTATCAGATTCAATGAAATACGCCTATGTCTGCCTAGCTGGGTTATTGTAAGGATAAATGACTTTCATGGTTGTTTTAAAAATATAAAGCACAGCCCCTGGCACAAGACTAACATTCAATCTGTGTGAACTATTTTGATGTCTTACTACCCTTTCAGGTCCCTCATGCTGCCCTAGAAACTCCGTAAACACTTGGTCGTTGGAGGAATTATGATCTCATATTGGGGGTGACTAGGCGATGGCTGGAACACACTGACATTAAGATGAGCTCTCCAAGACCCTACAGAGATCATAAAAGAGCTGAGTCTGGCATCCTTATCAGGACAGACCAGATCTCCGTAATAACTTACCTGGCTTTGTGATGGGCACTTGGAGTTGCTTCCCACTATCCATGATCTCCACACCCTGGGCTAAGATGGAGAAGGGTTGCCTGGCTTTGTTCTTAAACACGATCAGGATGGAGTCGCCCACCTCAGCATGAATCATTGGGCCTAAAGGCAAAACACAGGCCTGTGTGCATTATCGTTGATCTTTTCAACATTGATGTAATTTATATGTAGGTAGCGTGGCAAAATGAAACAAAGATTAGCATCTTCATTAATGTACTTCCTTTAGAGGGTGATATTGTCTAGTATTAAATATCACAGAGTGTTCAGCAATTTGACCAATCTGGCTTCAAATCCTGCCTCCTTCACTTATTAGAGAAGGCTTGAGTAAGTCAAGGCCTGCCTGAGTCTCGATTTCTTCATCTGTAAAATGGGTTTAATAACACCTTTCTCATAGGGTTACAGTAAGGACTAAATAAGATAATGTATGTAAAGTGCTTATTTCAGTGCACTGAACCACAGTAAGTACTCAATAAGTGCTTACATTTTTACTACTGCTCTGACATGATCTCTAGGAAAAGCCATATCCACATGACACACTGACTTTCAGTTGTAATCTCTCTGCGTGTAATCTTTGGTAAGTCTGAAATGGCTCACTATCTGGTAAATGGGTATAATAATAATAATGAGGATCCAATGAAATAATGTGTAAAAAACAGATTTGAAAGATAAGAACAAAACTGAAACATTTACATATTGATTTCTGATCAACAGAGTCATTTCACTAATGCATGTCCAGTGCTGCCCCTCAGTATCTAGATACCTTGATGAGACATAGAAAGAGAAACTCTTCAGCTTCTCACGTGCATATAATTCTGTTAGAAGCAACCAGCCTGGGTGCCAGTGGCACTCGGGTCCACATCCCACTGGAGAGGCCTGTGCCAGCATGACAGTGGGACACCCCTCACCCATGCCAGGTGCTTTTCACCTCTCGGTGCCCAGAATGTGACATAAATGCAGTTTGCCCAGCTCACACCCCACATTAACAGAGCATCAAACACTCTGGTCTTCACGAGGCCCCGCTTTGAGGAGGATGGAAACAGACTCCTTTGTGGAAGCACCTCAGACCTGAGCCCTATTTATTTGTGTTCTTGGGCATCTACGGTATTCTGCATTCACAGGGAGATAGAGTCATGGTAGGGGTCTGACCACACCTGTCCATTCTTCACTGATTCAAACCAAGACCTCTAAAGGCCTAAAAAAAATTCTAAAATTTCTTGGACTATTATTATCTTTGGAAGAAAATATTCAGTATGAATCAGAAAGTATTTGAAAAATGCTCATTTTTTAAAAAATGATAAAACTAGAAAAGAAATTTATAGGCATGTTTTTAAACAGTAAATTTGGGTATAGTTACAGATAGGTGCATGCGTATGCATACATTAAAATCATTATTTGTGTATTAACTCCCACTTAAATTGCACGTGCCTTGCTGTACAGGTGAGTAAGAGCGAATGCCTTCGATTCATGGCCTGGTAGGTCACGGGGAGCAGTCACGAATGGAGATGTGCCTGCCCTTTGCAACTTCAGGAGCACAGGCCTCTCCTGAGCTGCAGAAAACGAATGGGTGGGCCTCCCGCTCCCCTGGCTGCAGTGCCACTGGGTTTGCCTCTGATGAAGTCACTCGTTTGTGTCGTTTTACTGAACAGCCCCACACCAGAGCTCTTTGGGGGACAATTCAGCCTCCTTGGCAGGACCAGCACCTTTTCTTCAGAGCTCAGTTGAGACACATGGCTCTAAAGGAGGAATGTTCCCACCAGGGATGACTCATTTGGTGTGACAAACAAGCTTGCACGCCAGTGTTAATAGATGGTGATGATGTAGGGGAAGTTGGGTGGGGCATTTAATAATTCATCAAGCTGGCAGTCATGGTGCCCTATTTCAATATTAAGAAGCACTGTGTAAAGCCATAATATTAATGTAAGTTACCTTGTGATTTAAAAATGGGAATGGATTTCAAAATGTTGTCTAGAATAGCCCTCTGCCTTAAGATCTTATCTTCACAACGGGGTCAGGTTTGGTGACTCCCAGGTGAAGAAAAGTGGGGCAGGTCAGCAGGAAGAGCTTATCTGCTCACCAGATCAGGCAGCCCAGGGCATCAGACAGGGGGAGTCGGTTCTGAGAAGGCCATGAGTTAGCACCTCCAAAACTGAAAGCAGGCCTTTGCTCCTTAGCACTCCTCTCATGTAAGGGGTTCCTTTTTTGTCAGAATTATTTTTATGGCATATAGTTACAGCCCTGTGCATGGGTAATTGAAGACCTTGAAGAAATTATACAGACACTCTGCCTGCTATTCTGAGGCATCAATTTGTTTCAAACTAAAATTTCCTGGCTCAGCGGAGAGTGGGAAAGAAACTTCAGGACAACAGGTTCTGGTTAGACTGCCTGATGATACAGATTCCTGTTTTCACGTTATCTGGTAGTCCAATTATGATGATTCTCTAGGTGAGCCGAGCACACAGCGTGCTCCCTGACAATGGGAGAGCAGAAAGATGTCACACTTGGATGAATGTAGTCAAGCTCCTCTGTTCCTGCCTCCCTTCTTAGGTGTAAGTCTCACAGGATGTGTGTGTGTGTGTGTGTGCACGCTTGGGGCTGGCAGTGCACGGCTGAGATCGGTGCCATACCCAGCAGGCCTAAGTGCTCCTCTCGCGGTGGTCGGGCTTTGATCTCCACAAATTCTCCGTTGGTGTACTCCCTGTAAACCACCTTCTTGTACTGAGAGCCAATCCAGTTTTCAGTGTGGTTCATAAATATATCTCCGTGTCTGCAAATCAGAAGCACCAGAAATTAAAGTTGTCAGAAGGTAGAAAAAGCTTGAGTGCTTCTGAGTAATTTGGGGGTTCTCCAGAGCAGTGCTCCCCAGACCTAGCTGCGATCAGGGTCTCCCTGAGGACCTGGCCTTCTTCACTGGGTTCTCTGGGAGTGGGGCCAGGAATCTGCATTTGAAAGTGCCTCCGGGAGTTCTGATGTGGGCAGCACAGAACTAGCCCATGGTCTACTCTTGGGAGCCACTGCTCTAAAGCCCTGCTGGGTGCTGAATGCGGCCAGCCTTAGTTAGACACTCCTAAGATCCTCTTGAGGTTGCACTTCTCTTCTTGTCACTAACTAACTTCATACACGCCCATGCATGCACACACATGCACACCCACACTCTACCACCCAGCATTCCTCCAGATATCATATGTATCACTCTATACCTTGTTATGATTTTCCACTTTGAAAGAGCTCAAGAAAGTCTGTGGGTTGTGTATTATGCATATACCCGTATAAAAATATGGATACAGTTGATTCTTGTCACTCACAATAGTTATGTTCTAGAAAGTCACCACAAACACTGAATTAATGAATACTTAACCATTGTTCCTAATGGAATACAGGTTTCTAACCTCTGGCCACAATATTTTCAGTAAGAGATCAATATATAACTTTGTTTTGTATGTGTTTCTGTTTAAAGATGTCTTATATAATATATATTGCTGATTCATTGACACTGAATTCATGGCCAACAGCACTATAACTCATGCCTGATCAAGCTCATTTAACACAGGTATTTCCTCCATAAAGCACATCACAGCCTTCTTGTGCTTAGGAACGCTAGACGGTGCTTCAGCACTATGCTGGAGGGCCATTTTAAACAGCAAAATCACCTGAAAAGCACCAAAATGCAAAAAGACCAGCCAAACATGTGGCTCTAAATAAACCACCAAAAGGATCCTTATCGACAGTATGAGAGCTGAAACAGGAAGGCAGAATGAGGCCTTGTTTGACCTTAGTTGGGAACGTGCTCATCGGGTGACACAACATTTTCACTGCTTTATGCATCTCTGTGAGCAATCACAAAAGCACCATAAGAATTGATTTTGGGGTAACAAATAAATTTGAGCCAGGAGGCGAATTCACAAATATGGAATCTGTGAATAATGAGGATCAACTACATATTTAATCTATCACTGAGATAGATCATCGCAAAAGACAGAAAAAAAAGAAAAAACCCTGTCAATTTTATCTCCAAAATATAGTGGGTCTCACATCCTTCCATTTCCCACTGTTAAATTGCCCACACTCTAATCTAAGCCACGTACGTCACTTACCTGCATTAACCAGAATTATCCCTAATCATTTTCCCTGCCACCTATCCTCCTCCCTTCCCTTTTTTCTCTACACTGCAGGCAGAATGTGCATAAACTATAAATTCGACCAAGTCGGTCGTTATGGAAAACCTTCTTATGTCCCTCCACTGCCCAACTCCTCAGTTTGGCTCTCGCAGCCCTTCCCTACCTGCCTTTGCTAACCTCCCCAGCCTTGTTTCCCATCACTGGGCCCCACAGTCTCTGTCTGGGTCATTCTAAGCATTCATTCTCTTGAACCCCATGTGCCCTCCCCACCTCCAGGCCTTATGTGTGCCAAAAGCACACTTCCTAACTCTTCAACTGGCCTACTCTTCACATCCCAGCTCAAAGACTACTTTCCCTGACCACCTACCCTCTCTCCACCATTCCCCCCAGACGGGGCTGTGTGCTCCTGCTGTGAGCTCCCTCTGCACCCTGCACTCCCCCTCCCATAGTGGTTGCCTCACTCAGTATGCTCATTCTAGTGTCTTCGCCAGGGACCATGAATTCTGTGTGGGAAAGGACCTTGTCTGCTTTTCTCAGCACTGTTTCACCAGCACTTTTCATGATGCCTAGCACACAGTAGGTATTTAACAAATGTATATACACCTTCTACCCTACACTGTATGCTTTCCAAGGGAAGAGGATTTTTCTTCTACTTTTATTTTCCAGGAGTCCTAGTAACATGTGTGGTGTGGCAAACACAGACTCTAGAGCCATACTCTGCTGTTTTCCAGCTTCCCTCCTCTGCAAAATGAGGTGACAATAATGCACCTACTTGCTAGGGTTGGTGTGAGGATTACGAGTTAAGATCTGTAAAGCACTGCATGAGACATATATTAAGTACCATGTAATCATTTGCCCTATCATCGTCTCACTAGGATGTCGTGTGAGATGCTGAGTCAAAGTTGATGAAATGGGTCAAGTGTGTTATGAGGGTCATATCAGATAGGGTTTGGAAAAGCCCTAGCAAAACGCCTGGCTCGTGGTGGGTGCTCCATACATGACAGCTATTATTTCGAATCCCAGGTTAGTTAAATTACATGAGTATCAGTCCACAAGCTCAGGAGTACTAGGAATACAACGTTAGTTCTCTATTGCAACTTAATCTGTTTTCAAATCCCCTCCTACTGTACAAACTCTGTCATTGAACCGATGGTCCCATTTGTTGCCTTTCTGGGATTCTGAGGCCTTCCCAGTGTGTTAGGAAGCCCCAGGGAAGGACGTCCAGGTCCCAAAGTAAGGCAGAGGGTCTGTGCTGACCAGGACAATAGATGTCTCAGGGCTAACTGGCACAGAGAGGTGGTTTGAAAACCAGATGTGTCCCATGCTCTGACCTTGGGTCAAAGGGCAGAGGCATAACAACTGGGGTGCAGAAAAGGCGTTTTGCTCTTGGGCTCTTATCTACAAAGGTACCACAGATGTGCTAATAACCTGTCATTTCAATTCTGTACTGCGTTTTTATCTACAGATCTGTTGTACTTGGAATATGTGAACATGCTATCATTTCACTTTGCTTTTGTTTATTTATGGGCAATATCCAGAATGGCAGGAGCAGGGTGCAATCACACCTGGCACCCTCCATTACTCTGTGTCACTTGGGAGACATCCCAGAAGACTGAAGATAGAACATCCTGCCAGCCCAGAGGGATGGGGGACCTAAAACAGAAATTACACTGAGTATCAAGAAAATAATGAAGGCTATATTTCTTACACACTCACGGGCTTGAGACTGTACATGTGACAAAATTACTACACAATTATTTCTTTAGTTATGGCAGCCTTTTAATGAAACAATCAGTTTAGAAAAGGCCAAATTAGTATTTATTTCATTTTCCACTGCACCAGCATCAGTCTTTAACTTGTATTGGCAGCAGGGATTTGTATTTGCAAGAGAGGGGTGTCTGGTTTAACAACTGGATTGGTGAATAATCGAATTAATTTTAAATTGTCCTGTCCTTGAGGCAAATCTTTTGAAAATGGAGTCACTTTATTTCTTCATTTATCCATAAGGTGGCAGGGTTGTACTATGTTTTCCAGGAGTCTAAACCCTTGAAACAGGCCAACAAGTAAGAAGGGAAACCAAACACGATAAGGTTAGGGATAGTCGGATGTAGAGGAGTTTGTGTGTGGCTTAGCCATAGAGAAGGAGGTGAGGGTGGGGATGTGATAATAACGAACAAAGAGGAACAGGACAACGGTCAACCTGGCATGGGGTGAGGACTCAGATTTATCCTTCAAAAGGTCTATGTCCAACTCTAACTCTGCCAGTGACTAGTTGGACAACCGAACTCTGTGCACCGAGTCTTCTCGTCTGCAGTAGGGACAGTGATACTCCAGCCGATGGTTGCTGTGAAGTGGGGGCTATTGACCTTGGGGGAAGAGGTCTGCAGGTCTGAGACTCTATACCTTGACTCCACCCCAGTGCGCCCGGGGAGCTTAGGGCCGATAAAGGACCAGTGCTCACAAGCCTGCTTGCGGCTGCGCCTTGCTGATTCAGTGCTTAGCGCTGCCTGACCGCGCTGTCACCGGAGGGTCAATCTTGCGGACTTTCTAGGTACGAGGCTTAGCAGGGAGATCTGCTCTTTCAACCCCAACTCGGGGACCTCTGCCAAGGCAATGGCCTCCGACCCTTCCTTGGTTGTCCCCCACCATATCAGCGCTCTATCAATGACCCATCCTCAGTTCCCCTTCCCCGCGGTCCTCAATCTACACAGCCCACGTTCTCACCCCGAATCTACACATCATCCCTGCCTCCCGCTGCACCCTGTTGTCTTCCTTAAACCTTTTCCCTCTAGACTCTCCCTCAAACGCCCATCGTTAGTCCGACAGCCATGCTTGGAACCAGCCCCCGCTAGCGGAGGTGTACTGAGCCTTCCTCCAGCGTGCCCTCAAAACAACTTTAGACTCCCTTTCTGGGGGAGAGATGGGCAGTTTCCCTAAGCTTTTGTGCTCGTAAATAAAAGTCTCCGTCTGTGGGAACTGTCCAGACAAAACCAGGGCATTTTCAGTTTTCCACATTTGATAAACGTCCACAGAGCATGTGCAATCCCACCCAAGAGACTCGGCGGCTTCGCCTGTGGTACCTTTCCCCTCCTGCGTCCAAGTGCTGCTTTTCGAACTCCCAGTTTTTGTTAGGGGCATAATCCCATTCTACCTCTTCAGCGGCGATGTAAAAGGTTCTTATCATCCCGTACGGCTGCTCAGAAGGGTCCTTGTTGCCACAGCTGTTGACCTCGTATATCTGATTCATGCCTCTGGCGAAGTGGTGCAACGTGGAACAAAACAGCCTGAAAATACCTGAAAGAGAAACGGCATGGGCGGTGGGTGGCGCTCAGTTTTTCCGTTTTTGATTTTGGTTTGCTAACAAACGTACATATTTTATTCCGAAACAAATAATCAGTAAGGTGGATTTTTAAAATATCAATTTTATATAGTATTTTTAAATCAGACTGCAAGGGGAAGAAATTACTTTGAATATATTGATTTACAGGGGAAAAAATCTGAAATTTATCTGTAATGGAAAAATGAAACTTGCAGTTGCTACCAAGAAACGATTTCTCTAGGTCTTCCCTATTGTACACGTCTATAAGAAGATAGTCACGCCTGGAAAATCAATGGTAAGTATGATTATTTTAGCCCTGCCCAGTTTAAAAACATGTTATTACCTGCATGATTAAGATCCTAGACAAAGTTCACATTAGGTCACATTTCTGAAGTCATGTATTTTGACCTAAAGAATTTCATAAACTATAAAGCACAATACACATATAAGATATTATCTTTTTATTAAGGTCAAATATACTACTTCATTAAGCCCTTGAGCAAAGGAAGTTCTCATTTCCCAAGGTAGGTCTACATTATGCTAGATAAAAGAAAAAGAAAAAAAAAACAACTAAATTTCCCTCCATAATACCAACAATCCTGTCTGACTGGGAATCATGTAATTTTTTAAACTAAATTTTCTAGGTGCAATGGTATCAGGTAGGTATATCTTAGTTGAACTCACCATAAAATCGTGTGAAACAAAATTATTGGAAGATATTAACGCAGTGAAATTATTGGATTGATAAATCTTCCCTTCCTCTAGTGGACTCTGTTCTTAGTGTATGCCTCTCATTAACCATCCACAAGGCATAGAGAGAGATTTTATTGTGCTACACATGTCTACATATTGCCAAATTACGCCTCCAGGATGAACAAAAACCACTGGGTGTGGGTACCCCAGCACCCCCAGGCACTGACGAGGACCCTCATGAGGAAGGGTCTCTGTGAAATCACAGAGAAGACACCTCTGAAGACAGACTTGGAAAGAGCTCCCTCTGCATATGTTGCTTTCCAGGCAGTCCATTATTTCTGTGTTCATCATGTTCTTCAATAGTCGAGGAATTATATTCTCTAGGAACAAAGAGGAGTTTAAGGCCTCGATTGTGGTGATGGTTTCGCAGTTGTATACTTATCTCCAAGCTCATCAATTTGTATATATTAGATGAGCATACCTCAATAACATGGTTTAAGAAAAGAAAAAACAAAGAAAATGAGTTGCAGCCTACAGTCTACTCTACCCATGTCTTGGGCACTCTTTTTGACGTGGGGATATGAGACAGGAATTGTTGACATAACCAAGCTTCTAAGCAGTCTCAGATTTACACTCACCATCAAACATAAATCAGAAAACATTTTATGAAACTCTTTAGAAGCCTGTAGGTAATACTTAAAGCACTGGAAGAAGTAGCCAAGTCTCTAAAATTACTCCAGCTGCCTCTAGCATGAGTGCCTGTTTTATGGGTTAAAACTATTTGGCTGTTTCCCTCCCCTCCCTCTTTGGTCTTGAAGAGTGTTTTTACAAAGAAAAATCATTCTACAGTAATCAAAACAGCATGGTACTGGTACAAAACATGTGTACAGATCAATGGAACAGAACTGAAAGCCCAGAAATAAAACCACACATCTATGGACAGCTAATCTTCAACAAAGGAGCTGAGGGCATACAATGGAGAAAAGAAAATCTCTTCAACAAATGGTGCTGGGAAAACTGGACAGCGACATATAAAAGAATGAAAATTGACCATTCTTTTTCACCATTCACGAAAATAATCTCAAAATAGATCAAATACCTAAAGGTAAGACCTGAAACCATAAGGCTTCTAGAAGAAAATATAGGCAGTACACTCTTTGACATCAGTATCAAAGGGATTTTTTCAGACACCATATCTTCTCAGACAAGGGAAACAATAGAAAGAATAAACAAATGGGACTTCATCAGACTAAAGCGCTTTCTCAAGGCAAGGGAAAACAGGATTGAAACAAAAAGACAACGCACCAACTGGGAAAAAATATTTGCAAGTCATACATCTGACAAAGGGTTAATCTCCATACTATATAAAGAACTTACACAACTCAACAACAAAAAACCAAACGACCCAATCAATCAAAAAATGGGCAGGGGACATGAACAGACATTTCTCCAAAGAAGATATACGGATAACCAATAGGCACATGAAAAGATGCTCATCATCACTGATCATCAAGGAAATGCAAATCAAAACTACAATGAGACATCACCTTACACCCGTTAGAATGGCAAAAATAACCAAAACAAAAAGTAACAAATGTTGGAGAGGTTGTGGAGAAAAAAGGAACCCTCATACACTGCTGGTGGGAATGCAAACTAGTGCAGCCACTATGGAAAACAGTATGGAGATTTCTCAAAAAATTAAATATAGAAATACCATATGACCCAGCCGTCCCACTCCCGGGTATCTAGCCAAAGAACTTGAAATCAGCAATTCCAAAAGTCCCATGCAACCCTATGTTCATTACAGCATTATTTACAATAGCCAAGACGTGGAAGAAACCTATGTGCCCATCAACTGATGATTGGATAAAGAAGATATGGTATATATATGCAATGGAATACTACTCAGCCATAAAAAAGGATAAAATCGTCCCATTCACAACAACATGGATGGACCTTGAGGGTATCATGTTAAGTGAAATAAGCCAGATAGAGAAAGACAATCTCTGTTTGACTCCGCTCATAGATGGAAGTTAAACATGTAGACAAAGAGAACAGATTAGTGGTTACCAGGGGAAAGGGGGCATAGGGGGTGGGCACAAGGGGTGAAGTGGTGCACCTACAACACGACTGACAATAATGTACAACTGAAAGTTCACAAGGTTGTAAACTATCATAATCTTAATAAAAAGTTAAAAAAAAATCATTGTGTCCAACGCATCCCGTGTTTGGGTGGTTCATAATTGATTAATTATACTAATGTAGAGAGATTGAATGCTAGAAGTTTACAAGGCAAGGATCATGGAGCTCCCAGTCTCTGGCAGTTCTTGGGCAAAAGTTTTAAAGCCCAAACCTCAAGTTTTTAACCAGTGACACCAAGAAATATCTAAACTGCAGTTCCAGTATGATGCAAAGAAGTAAACATCCACTCATGGAGGAGACAGAGTCAGCAAGTACTCATCTTGGGTAGCATATTGGTTTCTTTTTAAGACTAATGGAAAAGTTGGGTTGGAGGAACATGTTGAATGCCCACAACATTTGCTTGCTATTCTTATGTTTTATGCAACAGCATATGATGTCATGTGTAGTTCTATACCTTTTATAAAAATGCCCAGATTATCTAATTAGCTTGGAAATCTCTAAGAGAAGGGACAGGTACTGGTACTTCAATGGGCCTTCCGTGGACTTTGGACCCAGTGCAGCTTGTCCTCTGGGGAAACCAAGGGAACCCACAGAATGAAAATAGAGAAGTCCCCAAGTAACTCATCAAGAGTCCACTAACAGTCTCCAGAGAAGGGAGACCAGGCCACGGCCATAACCTGGAAGCATCTGCTGGGCTGTCCATGCTTGGTAGATACTTCAGAGCAGCAACTAGAATGATGTTTGTGCTTAAAGAGAACAAAAAATATCCTCTTTCTCGGGGCTCAGTTGGTCATGGATATGAATCAAGAGCATTATCCTAGGATTTGTATGGCAAGGTCATTTCTGCTTTGTGGATGTTATTTTAAATGCCTCTCCAATAAAATAATTAGGATTCCCTGATTCTAATCAAGACTATATCTCCTCTATACCCTCTAAAGTGCCCAAATTCACCAATTTCTTCTCGGGGAGGATCCTAAGAGTATATGCCTGAAGACAGGAATTTGGTCACCTGAGATGGCCCTGTCAAGTTTACCTGCATGGTCCGGCTGCATGAAAGCCGTTGTGGAGATGTGGGGAAACAGGGCCAGCGTGTCACGGTGAGTCCCTCGTAGGTGGATGGTGTTCCCTTGAAAATAAACTCCATGCATGTCGGTGTCAGTGCCCATTCCAATCATATGCCAGGAAACTCTATCCTTTTTGCACATGGTTAGGCCTGGCTGGTTGCCATACATGTAGCCATTAATAGCTAAATGGAAGGAAAAAAGATAGAGCCCACTATAATTATGTACATATACTGAAAACACATCATGTTAGTGAAAGATTGTCAATGTGTATGGGGGTGGGGTGTTTATGTGTTCAAGTTCTAACTATTTACAGAAGATCCGTATTATCAGAGAATAAATAGTACTGGGGAAAAGCCACAAGGTGAATCAATTTAAAATGGAGACTAAAACTAACAATGAATAATGAAAATATACTAAAATTGTGAAAATGTTGTATTTAACAACATATACACAAAAGCACTAAGAATAATAAGGAATAAATCAGATTGTTTTCTGGCATAATTTTTTCTGACAAAATGGATTGATGATGTAATATGATATCCTTCTTTTCACATCGTTTTGAGGATTATAAAGAGCATCATACTTGTAAAACTATTTTATGGACTTCACGAATTTTCCCAAAATCTTCTCTAAAACTCTAGATATGAAAATCATTTTCCTTTGAGGTTCTTATCCTGTCACCTCCCTGAGAAAGTGTCTCTTTCTCAGTTACTAATTCATTTAATTTTGTCAGATCCTCATTTGCCGATGACTTTGCATTTGATTCTAGCAGTTATCAGACGTCCCTTTACTGATTTCATGGATCCTGCATCATTTGAAAGATTTGCAATTGATTGACATCGTATTTGCACGTCTGGTCAGTGGACAGGGATTTTTTAGGGGGAGAGGGATGCTAAGTTTCTAAGAGGTTAGTCTCTGAGTAGGTAATTTTGCCTTTGATAACTTTTATTTCCCTACCCAATAGAATAACTGAAGGGACTTTGAATAATGATTACTTAGATATGAAGACTCTCAGTATCTCCTGAAATGAAAACCATTTTTATCTTTTACATCAACCTCAATCCATGGATAGTGGCTGCCCGGAGCAGTGCCTTGAGAAGAGTTTAGAAATAACATTCCCACTCTGTGGGGGATGACTGCCATGATTGAATAGCACTGTCTGAGGGGTGAGTGTACATAATCACGTCTCATGCTTGATAGATAAAGATTCTATGCCCCTTACTCTCTATTAATGCCCATAGGAGGAAAGAGCAACTACCACGCACATGAAAGATGTTCTGTAATAATTCCATTGTCAATAAAATTACTTTTTATTTCTTTGTCTGCAGAACCAGTGGTGCTTGGCAATTTTACTCAGATATCTAGGGTTATTAGTAGAGCTTCCAAGAAGCCCTGGGGCTTCTGAGAAGAACATCACATTTTCTGAAAAAAAATCTTTAATAATGCTTTTTCAAATAAATTCTATAAATCTTGTCCATTGAAGGTTAAAGAGATACCACTGTAAATTGAGGTGCTAATAATTTAGTCTTTGGCTGGCTGGCAAGGAATCTTCTCTTGCCTTGGAACTCTAAAGCCTCTCTTTCTGGAATATTTATTCACTCATTCATTCATTCAACAAACACCTGTGAATGTAGACCATAGAATACATGCAATGCAGAGCATTGTATACTATGTGAGGCACTTTCTCTTTGGTGGTGTTGCCATTTTTCTTTGTCCCACTCCATGAAAGCAAGACCAGAAATAGAATTCAATTTATAATTAATGCAAAATCTGAAACGATACATTATTTTCCTTTAAAAATGACATATTCAGCATGTCCAAAATATGAAAGTGTGCTTCACATTGCCAAACCAGGATGGGGCTGGATTTGACAGGGTCCATTATGCTGTTTAATATTTTTTATATGCAAGCCTCTCTCATGATAAACTCCTTTTGCAGCTTAGTTTCTCCACTAAGGAATTGCTATGTTTCCTCATTTCTAGCTTAGTTTCCCTTTTTTACTGGCTACTAGAAAGGTTGGAAACAAATTTCATATTTGGTTATAACAAATCTTTTTGTGGAAGATGATACTGAAAATGCATTACTCCTTGCTTTCCGTTGGTCCAAGAGGGGACTCCGTTGGAACGGAGCATCCAGAAGCGTGTGAGTCTGTGAGCTGGCTGCCGTGAGTCACCTGGAATCTTGGACATTTTTGGACTTCCTTGGGGTTAGGGGGCGATTAGGGACTATTTTGTTATTTTCCCATAATGTTTTAAAGGCAATAAATAGAAGTTATGCTTAACCCTAAAACAAGCAGTTTAGCCCCTGTTATCCTACAGTGCCTGCTTTAGGCGCATTTGTTGACTACACATTCTCGTGGGCACCTGAGTTTGAACTCCGGCCCAGTACTCTGTTACCTTGGGTAACGTGCCCAAGTCTAACGAGAATCCTGTGTCAGTCACATCAGTTACAAGGTGGTTTACTAATGTAACAACTGATGTAAGAGAAACAGAGAAGGAGAATTAAGCAGTTCCTCCTAAACAAAGATCTAGGATAGGAACGGCCAGTATTTCACAAATTAACGCGTTAGACAGTCATTCATACTACCTGATAAGAGATACTTTGCTGTATAATGATTATCTCCAGTTATCACTTGGGTTATCAGACTTAATGATGCCATTGTGAACCCGAGGGAGGGCACTTTGTCAGTAATTTTTCTACATCTAAGATGTACTGTGATCTTTGCTAGTTCAAACTCTGTGTTGCTTCACCTAAGGCTGATACCGTGTTTTAGAGGTATTAATTAAATTTCACAACATCTGTGGGAGATAGGGAGGTTTCACCATACCCTGTGAGGCTGAAGCCATGAAATAATTTACTCATGACCGAAAATAATACCCAAGAAACCAAAATAAAGATAAAGTATTTCAAGTATTTTCACTTCGAATACAATTACGCCTTTCCTTGACAGGAGGGAGAGTCTTTTCTCATACCATGCATTTGGTTGGACTTCACAAACTCTTTGTCTTTTTTGTCAACACTGAAGGGACGCCAGGTAAACTTCTGAATGTTTTCATCAAGATACCTGCTCAGATTCTCATCGAAGACTGTGAACAGCAGGTAAAATTCCTTGTCTATTCCTTTCTACAGAGAAAAAAGAAATGAACACATAAGAAGTACAGCTGGGAGGAATTCTTAGTTCTGCTTCACTTGCAAAGAAACACAAAGTAAATTAGGATCAACATCAGCCATAGATTTCCTGGGTCATTTTGTGAATCAGGATTCTGAGCGTGATTCTGATAAATTCATTCCACACCCTAAAAATTCATGTTTCTCATTGTAACCTTCTCCCTCCCCATGTGACTTCCTGCTCAGAAGCTTTCCTACTCTGTGGTACTCCCATTGTCAGGCTGGTCATCACGATCTTCTTCTCCTTACCATGGCTTCCATATCCTGGCCCCAGCCTCTCTGACTTCATCTCCTTGTACTCACCCTCTAGCTTACTCCAACCTCCCCAGGCTTTTGCTCTTCTGTGAACACACCAACTTCATTCCTGCCTCAGGGCCTTTTCATGTGCTGTTCCTACTGCCTAGAAGGTTCTCCCAGGTCTTGCCCAGGTCACTCCCTTACTCCATTTAGTTCCCTGTACAAATGTCACCTCCTCAGAGTGCCCCTCCCTGACACCCTGTCTAAAACAGTCACACATCTGTCACTCTGCCTGCAAACTTACTTTATTTCACCCTACTTTACTCTTCTTCATAGCACTTGTCTCCACCTGAAATTACGTTTTATTTGTAAACTTTGTATTTGTGACTGTTTTCCCACTGCAATGTAGGCTTTGTGAGGGTGGCGATGTTTGAGGCTCCTCTCTGTATCCTGAGCTCCAAGAAAAAAGCCTGGAAAGGCAGGAACCCAATATGTGTTTGTGAACAAAATAAGGAAATCATATAACCCAGGAGACTTTGCTAAACTATGTTAGCTTGAGTTGATATTGGGGGAATCAGGGATTACTTCCACTGTGTGTATTCCTAATTCCTCATGTCTGAAAACATAGCATCCTAAATTGCTGAAATGTACTTTTCTTTAAAGCTCAACCAGAGAGGTGATTGTGTTTCATGCCCCTTGATGTCTTCCTACCTCTAATCAGCTCCCCTCCAATCCACCCTTCATCCTGCTGCCTGCTCCAGGGGGATCCTCAGCAATGCCATCTGATCACATCTCTCTCCTTCTTACACTGGACAATACAATCTAAGCTCACAGCGATCTGGTCCCTTCCTACCTTCAGCCTCCTCTCTTGGCCCTTCCCTCCTGGCTCTTTGAGGCGAGGCCAAGCTCCTTACAGCAATTTGAACTTGCTGTGTTCTGCAGGTCTCTGTCTTTCGTGTACGTATCCCCCAGCTTTGACCATCTGCCACCCCAAACCAACCTCAAGGGCCAGCTTAGCTGCCCCACCTCTGTGAGGCTTCCCTGACTCCTCATGGGAGACATGGATCCTCCTTGCTTTATGCTCCTGCTACACCTCATGTGCACTGACTGCTTTTATCACATGGTGTTTTAGGAGGCAATAGTTTAAGATCATAGGCTATGAAAAGAAACAATGTAGGCTTGAAATTTTTCAAAATAAAATATTAAAAAATTGGGGGGAAGTAGAGGGTCAGACTATATTTTTAAAAAGTATGGGCTATGGGAGCAGGCAGACCTGAGTTCTAATGCTGTTCTGCTTACCTGCTGTGGAAACTAGGGCAAGTGATTTATCCCCTATAAGCCCCAATTCCCTCATTTGCAAAATGAGCATAATAATAGTCCCCACCTCATATTTTTGTGAAGGTTAAATTAGATAATATAAGTAAAGTACTCAACACATCTGGCAAATAATAAGTAGACAATGTTAACTGTCATTATTCGCTGTGATTGCAATTGTCCATAGTATAAGAATAAACCATTGAAAAGAGTTGAGTTGAAGAACCTCATCATCTGAGAGGTATTTGGAGGGCAGCTGGGTCTGCAAGAGTGGGAAATCAGCCCAGAAAAGGGTTAAAAGAGAGAAGATAGGACCCTGTGTGATGGTTAATTTTATGTGTCAACTGAACTGGGCCATGAGATGCCTAGATATTTAGTCAAACGTTATTCTGGGCATTTTCATGAGAGTGTCTTGGGATGAGATTAACATTTGAATCAGTACACTGAGTAAAGCACTGCCCTCCCTAATGTGGGTGGGCCTCATCCAATCAGTTGAAGGCCTCAATAGAACAAAAGTCTGATCCTCCCACAAGTAAAAGGGAAGTCCTCCTGCCTGACTGCCTTCAAACTTGAACACTGGCTTTTTCCTGCCCTTAGCCTCACACTGAAACATTGGCTCTGCCTGGATCTGGAGCCTGCTGGCCTTTGGAGTAGAACTATACCCTTGGCTCCCCTGGTCTCCTGCTTGCTGAGTCAACCTGCAGATCTTAGAACTTATCAGCCTCCATAACTGTGTGAGCCAATTCCTTCCAGTAAATCTCTTTCTGTTTATGCATACATCCTAATGGTTCTGTTTTTCTGGAGAACTCTGATTAATATACTCTGCTACTTGTGTGTGGAATGCATCTGAGTGATGGCTTGAGTCTGCAGCACAAAGCTCTTTTGTGGAGAGCACCTATATCAGTACATTCTGGGCTCCCATGGCAGCAGGGAAGCCGGGAGGTATGAACCATAAGCCATCACACAACTCTGAGTGCTTAAATGAGGAAGTGGGAAACGAGTTTTGAAACGAGGCTGTCCTGGAATTTTCAGCGTCCATTTTCAGGCCACACATTTAACATTTGAGATGTGTATAATAGGGCATTTTCTGTTAACCAAACGTCTTAATACAACTTTGAAGATAAGAACGCTCACCCTGTATTTCATTTATTCAAACATAAATATTTTTAGAGTGTCAGCGATGCACCAGGCATTGTTCTGGGAAGTGAAGATAAGACAGACAAGGTCCCTGCTCCATGGCACTTACATTTTTGTAGGAGGAAATATACTATGCACATAAAAAATAAAGAAAGAAAGAAAATGTCCTAAGGTGGTAAGTGATATTAAAATCAGCTAATGTGATACTGACTTTAGCTTAGTGAGCAGGGAAGGCTTCTCTAAGGAGGTGACAAGAAGAGCCAGCCTTGCGAAGGGAAGGCATTCCAAACAGAGGCAGCCTAGTAGAGAGGTGCTAAGCCAAGGGTAAGCTTGACCACTTTGATGAACAGAAGGGTAGTGTGGCTGGAGCATAAGCAGGCAAGAGGGAGTGTAGTGAGAGAGATCAAAGAAGGAGTCAGAGGCTGGGACGCACAGGCCTAGGCTAAGAAATGTACATTTTTGTTCTAAGTGTGATAGGAAACCACTGGAGGGTGTTAAACATGGAAGTGACTTGATCTTATTTGCATTTTAGAAAAGTCACACTTGCCGCCCTGTGATGAAATAGATCATAGAGAAAAGACAGGACATGAAGAGGAGACAACATGTGATCCTAGATCAGAGCCTGGACCAAGAAAAACGTATTTTTTCTTTTGCTGTAAAGGTCACCCATCAGACAGCAAAATTTTAAAAGGTGTGAAAATTTGATAATAGTACGTATCAAGGTTAATTTCCTGACTTGGATAATTCTACTGTGTTTATGTCAGGGAGTGACCTTGTTTTTCAGAAACTATACACTGAAGAGATATCATGTCTGCCACCTACTCTCAACCAATTCAGGAAGAAAAATAGTCTAGAAAAATAAAAATGAGAGAATAATAAAGCAAACAAAGTAAAATGTTTATATTTGGGGAATCTGGGTGAAAGATATATGGAGAATTCTTTGCAACCTTTCCATAAGCCTAAAATTATTTCAAAATAAAATGTATCGGATAGATATAGATGGATGGATGGGTGGATGGATGAATGGATGAATGAATAGATAGATAGACTGATTGATTGATTGATAGATAATAGAGAAGGGAAGTAGGAAGTTTGATTGAACAGTTATTGTGGAAGGTCATCAGTTTTAGAAAAGGGCCTACTATCACTCGGTATGTTTTATGACATCCATTTGCCACTGGGAGAATTTATGGCAATTTACTGGAAGGAGATGCAAACTCCTCTTTACACGTTCATCTCTCTACCTGCCTAGAACAGGCCTAAGTTTTTACCTTAGAGGGTCTGGCTTAGTATGTGTTTCATAAATATTCCTTGCATTGAAAAGAACTTTCTGTGTGGTCAAATGGATTTCTCTCTCAGGCAAATCCCAGGTATGGGGTGTTTTAAGCTACAATTTTTTTTGGTAAATTTTGTATAAGTGGACTGACCATGAATGGTACTTGGCTCAGGCAACAACTCCCAGAGATTAGAAGGTGCTTCTGGCAAACCTCAAAGTCACCATTCAATGGATGCAACAGGGGCAGAATCAGAACTACCTAACGAAAGTTTTCTGGCACTAATTTCCTTGGCTCAGGGATTTAGCTAGTAGGAAGCAGGGTAGTGTATTGGAAAAAGAACAAAGCTGGATGCTCGAAGTTCCATGATCTACTGCTGGCTTTCACTACTTCCTAGGTGTGTTTCCTGGGCTGTCAAAGTCTCTGAGCCTCAGTTTCTTCAGCTTTAAAATAGGGTTACTCATTCTGCTTTGCCTTCTACGGTTGTTGAAGTACAGTGTAAATATTCAGTCTTGTTGCACAAGCATTGTTGAGGGCCATTCAGAGGTCCAGGGACACACTGAGCTTCTAATAGACATTTCCAGGATTGGTCCTTTGTGCAGGGAAATAAAAATCTGAGATGGACCAAGATACTCTGTCCTCTATCTAGAAATTCCTTTGAGCCCAGAAGCGGGTCTGTACAATGCAAAACATAAAATATGCCATTTAAATAAATAGCCTTGCTATTTCTGATTGGTGAAGTAATTCGAAATGGTTAAATGACTGGATTTTCCTCTTTTCATCAATGTGTTTTTTCGTTTTATTTTTTTGAGGAAGATTAGCCCTGAGCTAACATCTGCTGCCAATCTCTTCTTTTTGCTGAGGAAGACTGGCCCTGAGCTAACATCCATGCCCATCTTCCTCTACTTTATATGTGGGACGCCTACCACAGCATGGTGTGCCAAGGGGTGCCATGTCTGCACCCGGGATCCGAACCAGCAAACCCTGGGCCATCAAAGCAGAACGTGCCCACTTAACTACTGCGCCACAGGGCCAGCCCCCATTGATGTGTTTGATATCACGTAGACATGGCTTGAAATTTTATGCTTTGCCACACCCATCAGTGCAGCTGTCTAGGCCTCTAAGGTGGGACTAGCAAGAAATTATCGACATGCTTTCTTGTTCGCTCAGCCATCGTGGTTACTTCTGGTTTGCAATGGTGAGTTACAGCGCTTCTCAATCCTGGCTGCATGTTGGAATCACCTGGAGACTCTGATTTAATTGGTCTGGAGCACCTGAAGAAAAGATGGGTAAAAGGTCCCCAGGTGATTCTAATGTGCCGCCAAGTTTGAGGAAGCTTGTCCAAGGAAAAAGCATCCCAATTTGCATTCCATGTGGATCTCTGAAGATTCTAGAATCAAAGCAATGCACAGGGAAAGAGACCTACTGAATCCTAGCCACAACAAGCAGAAACCCTGGGTTTGTGGGTGAACATCTATAACTTTGGGAAGTCTGATCTTAAATCTACAAAAACATAAAGGAAAATTCCCATTATGTAGAAGTCAATTTCAAGAGGAAGGAAGAAAAAGTGCTTTTTGTGACTGCCTCTTTATTACTATCTAATCTCCAGCCATATTACTGATTTCTCCCACATACAACCCTAAGAAGAACCTGGTGACATCTGTTGGCCTACCTGTGTCCCATCAGCATTGAGAGCGCCCTTTTTACAGACTAGCAAAGGCCCTACGAGGCCAGAGCTGGTATCCTTGATTGGCTCAACCGCTGAGAAGTAAAGATAAGTCAGACAGGGGGGGTCACCAGCTGCTGGGCTCACGCTTTCAGGCACCATCCACCTGTATGTGAAGCTTTCACCTGGCTTAACATGTGCCCCTGGCTTCAGGAATCCTGAGGAGATAAATGAAACAATTACTCAAAGCGACAGCAGAGAACATTAAACATGTCAGACTGGGTCTTCCAGCTGTGGGTGTCTCTCTCTGATGATGTGTTTTGCAAAAGGGTAGTTGTTTTTGCTTATGCATCTTACCAGGGGAGGCCACTGCCACAGTCTGCTGTTTCATGAGATAGAAGTTATATCCAAGGATTGTCTTTTTCATAAATTATGTTTAGTATCTTCACAGATACTCTTTCTTACTCAAATACCAGGTTTAGCAAATATTAAAAGAGTGATAATTGCCCATTTAGCAATTAAATATAAAGCCATAAAATATCTTTGGGTGCCTTCCATGTGGAATATATCATACTTGGCCTTCTATGTGGAATGTATTGTATCACAGAGGATAGCCCAAAAAGTTAAGCAAGAGACTCATCTTTAAAGAGTTTGAAATCCAGAAGGGAGAACTAGGAAATAACTCAAATAACTGCAAGATAGAGGAGGTAAGTGAATGCCCTAGGTTGCAAAACTGATAAATAGCAGATCTGGGATTCACACTCAGGACTGATTCTGCAGACTGTGCACTCAATCTTCACGTTGTATTGCCAAATGAACACATTGAATCTCTCCAAGTAGACCAAGGCCAGAGACTCTCTGTATCTTGTCCAGAGCTTTGCAACAAGGTGCCTAATAAGTTTGCTGTGTTAAACAACAGAAAATATAAACATTTGGGCTAGCGCTGGCATTCTTTCTGTGCACACACAAGAAGTCATTGTGAGCATTTTGACCAAGGAAGAGAGTGCAGGTGCAGGAGACACTGCTGTAACAGAGGAGGGTGAGGATGGGTCTGGGGAGGGGGGGTTCTCCCTCTATTCCTTCCTTCTCTGTCCCCTCACCATCACCACAAAGCCTGCTCCAGACTGGGCCCAGTGTCATACTGGGGTGCGAAGAGGTATCCCAGGCAGCCATGACATCTGTTACAGTGACGGGAAGGCTTCCAAGGAGACCAGCAGTTTCCCAAGAGCAGTATCATGAAGGATGTCATGGACAGTAGTTCCTGCAACCACTGGGCAGAAGCTACCTTTCTTACATGCAGAGAGCCTGTGCTACCTACTCTGTGATGGGGAGAGTCCATACATGATGATAAGCACATAATACTGGTTTTAAATAAATATTTGTTGAAAGATACAGAGAAAGACCATGTGTAAGATTTTGATGTCCACAGAACATTGGCAATCAGATGTTCCTCTTAGCCTTCATCCCCAGGATCACATGCGACCTGCAGCAGGAAAGCTCTCCATCTTAGAGAAGTCGGGGTGACTATGAACATAGTTTGTTTTGAAATTTATTACATTACTGAGGGAAAAGGAAAGGAATTAACATTTCCTAAGAAGCTGCTGGAGGCCAGACCTACAGTCCTGAATTCTCTCCATCTCTTCACGGAGACTTGTGAGGTGAGTATCATTATCTGTGTTGATAGGTGAGAATAATAAGGTTTAGAAAGTTGAAGTAATTCCCTGAGCTCACAGGGCTGATAAGTGAAGGGACCAGCTCGCTCATCCTGTTTCCTCCCTAAGCTCAGGCTGAGACTTACCATCGACGTTTGGGGCTGCATCAGAGGCCTTGTCATAGATCACACCATGGGGCAAAATACTGTAGACTTTGTCAGCTTTGTTAGCAAAGGTCACCAACAGGGTATCGCCCACCTCTGCCCTGATGACTGGACCTGAAAAATATTGAGAGGAGGAGAGACGAGACGACGGAAAGAGACAGAGAGAAGTGAATATGGGCAAGAGAAGAGACATCCCATGTAGGTATATGCCCAGCTTAAACCTCCCCTTCAATTCAAAACATGATGGATGGTTTTACTCTACCAAGAATTCCAAGATGGGCTTCTGCCTCAGAGAGTCTCTTTCTTTGAGTAAAAGTTGCATCAACATATTCCACATACTGAGCCTTCCAATATTTTCCTCCTATTCTGTTGTTCCTTTGTGTGAAGTAGAGTTCAGAGTCACTGTGGAAAGAATAGGAACCTGACTGAGAATACATCTCTGCATATCCACCAAATGCCTTAATTATGGAGCTTTATTGTCTTTTGCCCATGTTCACCAACCCATCTTCCCCAAAAAGATGGCACAGTCTTCAACAAAGTTCCCAGGAATAGCCAACCAGCCTTAAAAGTCTTCAGAAGCTGGATGATGCTCAAGTTCATTTCTCTCTTAGCCATTGCACTTTCTTTCCTAGAAGTCCAGCAACCGACAAAGGCACAAGTAAACTCCTTACTTACCAGTACTGGGTTCCCAGAAGGGTGTCCTACAAAGTAACAAAGAGCTAACCAGTTTCTTTGCAGAGTGAACATCCCTCTATCTCTTGCTGATGTCAATATGAATAGTCTCTGCATATAGTAAGCTCTTTGAGATCTGGGATGGTTAAGGAATGCAGTGTCTAGTTAACCAAATAGTTTAATTAAAGGAGAGTTATCATATAAACTATATACACTAAATACCAAATTTCAAAGTATTATTGAAATGCAATAATATAAATTCTGACTGGCACTATCGCTGTCTTATTTGATCTCTGTCAATGGTACCATCACTTTTGCAATCATGCAGGTTGCCTTTGTCCTCTTTTTCTGCTCATCCCCTTATCTTGCCCATCCTGACTTTGTAGCTTTTTATTGCATCTCTCCTTTTCTGTACCTTTTTTTCATCTTTCCTTTCCTTTCTTCCCACTGCCACAACCCTAGTTCATGCCTTCATCACCTTATGTGTGGACCATGATATGAAGCCCCTGAGTGCACGCTCTGCATCCTCTATCTCACATTGGCTCACTCAGTATACAAACTTTGACAACATTAGTCTCCAAAATGATAATTTTCATTGTCATTTACCTACTGCAACATCTTCAATTGCTTCCACTTGCCAATCAAATAAAGTTCAAAAGGATTATAAGCCCTCTGCAACTGATATCCAGTTTACTTTACCCCAATTCTCTCTCTACTGCTCCATGCAAATGCCTGTTCCCCTAGGCAAATCCTCCACTCCAGTCATTCTGATGTCATCACTCTCCCCTATATGGTAGGTACTTTGCAGCCACTCCTACATCTAAAATTTCCTTCTCTTCACTGTTCACTTATGTAAATTCTATGACTCTTCAAGACCCTGTTTAAGTCCTACTTCCTCTGTGAAGTGTTCCTGGCTTTCTTAGTTCTCTGAATGCCCAGAGAACTCACTGGCTGGATGGTTCATCTTAGTCTTATTCGTAACCTGCAAAGTTGCTTCTCTTCCCCTGTGCATACAGCTTCTTCACCTGAAGGTAGGAAGATTGTCTTAGACCTCTTTGCATCCCTCATGTCGCTTAGAACATTGTGCTTTCATATATTAAATTAAATATTGATTGAATATAGCTTAATATTTCATATTTTATAAGGTGCTCCAGAATTCTGGAAAGCTTCTAAGACATAATTTTCAATGCTAATTCTTATTATTCTGTTTATGGAGAAATACTGGTAAATAGAGAATATTGAGATCAAAGTTTTTCATATATGGTTCACACAGATTTTTAGGTAAGGCTAAAGTGCATCAGTTTGGTGGAAGAATGAATGAATGAATGAATGAAATTTACAAAGAAAGAAACAAAGGGTATCTTATTGATCACAAAGAGAATTTTTAAAACATTATCTCAAAGATAAAAAGAATCACAGGGTTATAGCAATACTTCTTGGTATCACATTGTACAGTTTTTAGTGCTTTCACAGACATCATTGCATATGAGTCTACAATAACAAGTCACAGGAATCCACATTCACTTAATGAATTGGTAGATTCAACTTGAAAAATACTATGTGCCATGGGAGCCCAGAGAGAAAATGATTAACTGTGACTCAGGAGTCAGGGGAGGCTTCACTTAAGAGGTGACATTAGAGTTAAATTTTGGAGGAAAAATGTCATTCTACTGGACAGGGAGGAAAAGGACATTCTGGATAGAGGGGGTGTAACTTGCGTCAGGCTGTCCTTGAACCAAAAAGGATAACCTTCCTTGGTCAGTTCATTTCCTTTGAGATTCCTGTCTTATTCCCTCTTCAAAACTGTCTGTTCCATGTATACAAAAGCCTAATTCTGTTCTCTGTTAGCTTAGTATTTCTCGTGGCAGTTTGCACATAGTAGGTGCTCAAGAGAAGAGGAATGAATGAATGAATGACTCTAGTGCTTTGATTTAGCCAAGAAACCACAGAGCAATAAATACTCTGCCAATTCTCAGCAACATTATCTGGGGCTCAGAACTCCTTAAGGAGTGTCATTATGCCATCTACGCAGTATGTGCTCGCAAGAACAGTGCCTGGAATACAAATGAGATCACAGGAAAAAGCCTAGCGGATGCCTCTCTTATGAGAGGCTTAGAAACACCAGCAAAGAGAGCTTACCTGCCGGAGGTATTTAGGGGAAGACCATTGAATTTGTTATAGCCTTGAGGACCATAATCCCAGAGAATTTTTTCAGCTGCTATAAAGTAGTGCCTCTGTTTCCCTTTCATCTTGGGGTGAGAAATACCACTTTTGCAATTCCCAACATTGTATTGCCCCAGCATACCAGCTGCAGAAGAGAGGAAAACCACAAGACAAGGTATAAATGCTCACAAAAGAAATGATACAGGAGAAGATTGATAGATTTGACTTCATGAACATTGAAAACTTTTGTACAGGAAATAAAACCATAAATGAAGTTAAAAGTAAAGGATAAATGGTGGGGAGAGGGATATTGTAACACATATGACAAAAGATTGATATGTAAATAATCTGACAAATAAGAAGGAGAAAAGTAAATTTCCCAATAGAAAATGGACAGAGGACATAAACAGGTTATTCACAAAAGATATACAATTGGCCCACAAACAAATGAAGAAAAAAAAGTTCACCCTTAGCAATCAAGTGACACTTGTTCATTTATCAGATTGGTAAAGATTAGGAAGACTGATCATTCTCAGGGTTGGCAGATGAATGGGGAAAAGGGAATGCTCACACACCACGGTGAAGAGTAACAATTTCTCAAAGGGAATTTGGCAATATAGGTCCATAGCTTTAAAAAAAGGGTCAAACTCTTTGACCCCAGGAATTCCAAATCGAGGAGTTTTCCTAAGAAAATGTCAGACAAAAGTATAAACACATCTGTAAATTGATGTTTATCATTATTATAATAGCAAAAAAAATAGGGGAAATCTAATTGTTAAGCAATACAGTGCTGGTTAAGTAAATTGTAATCTCCTTATAAAAGACACTGAAAGGATTAACAATGACGTAGTAGATCTATATTCATTAACATGGAAGTATATTTCCAATATATTAATAAGCAGGAAAAGTGAGATATCGGGAACTATTAATAAATTGATGTCATTTTAGAGATAACATATGCATTTGTGTATAAAGTTCTAGAAAATAGTGAGGGAGGATATCATCAAAATGTGATACCATTATTTTTAGATGGGATTCTGATTTAAAAATTGAATTACATGTATTTTCTAATTTTTTTACAATAATTTTTTCTTAGGGTATGGACAATTTAGGAATACTATATTTCAGTAATGTATAAACATCAGTGTATGTCCACAGCTACTGGCCAAGCTTAGCAATCTTCCTAGTCTCAAATGACTGCTAATGCCTTGATTTTAAAACTAGTCTCTTCCCAGATTTAACAGCGTGAGACCCTTTAAGAATAGGGATTCTGTGTGTAGGGCACTTAAGATCTACCCTATTAGGAAATTTCAACTGTACAACGTAGTATTGTTGACTGTAGTCGCTGTCGCTGTTCCGTATATGAGATCTCCAGAACTCATTCATCCTGCAAAACTGAAACTTTGTACTCTGAGATCTGGTGTTCTCACCATACATACACAAAGGTAATTATGTGAGGTAATTGATATGTTAGTTAGCTTGAGTGTGGTGATCAGTTCACAATGTATAATACACCAAAACATCAAGTTGTATATCTTAAATATATACAATTCCTTTTTGCCAATTATACCTCAATAAGCTGGGGGAAAAAAATAGGAAGCTCATCTTGTTCATCTTTGTCTTCCCAGAACGGTGACTGTACATATTAATTGATCAGCTCAATATTTGTTGAATTGACTTGAATTGGAATAACCCAGCTGCCTAATGCTAAGATTAGCTGCTTAAGGTGGATGGGGACAAGAACGTGTTAGGAAAGCAGTGTTGAAAAGTTGCAGCCTTGTACTTGTTGGTGACTCTGTGTAGTATCCAAATTGATTCACGCATTATTTCTTCTGTGTCTTTCCCATTGACACATTTTCTTTTCCTATTCTTTTTTTACCATCTTAGGCCAGACCCTTTATATGCCGTAACTGTAATGTTGCCAATGCTTCTTAACTAGTATCCAGTGGCCAGAATCTCTCCATCAAATCCTTTCTGCACACAGACGTCATGTTTATCTCCCTAAATCGCTGCCCTGATTACGTTACTAATTAGAGGATCTAGAAGGACTCACTATTGCCTTCCAGACATAATCCCACCTTCTTAGCATTACCATTTGAAGATGCTCCCACTGAGACTCAATCTGCCTCCCCCGGCTTCTCTCTCCTCACTACTCTGGCATAAGCCTATAGTCCAGCCAAGTAAAGACCTATTCTATGTGGTCCCAAGGAATTAGGACCAAGTCATTCAATAGGCATTCAAGTCAATGTTTATGGTGCATCTCTCACTGGATTTTGTCTCAGTATAAGGAAGAACATTCCAACAGAACAGCCCAGAGATGAAACAGGCTGCTACAATTACTTAAAAGAGATGTTCCAAAGGAAATTCAAGAATTAAATGGGGGATCGGTCCAGATTATCTCTAAATTTCTTTCCAATGCTAAAAATTTGTTATTCTATTTATTCTATTTACAGTTGCTCATATAGAACATGCGTTTTTCCCAGTTCATGTTGCTTCCTCTACCTGGAAAGCCTTTCTTCCCTTCTTCACCTATTCAATTCCTACTCATGTTTCAAGGCTCAGATTAGGAGCCAACTCTTCAGCGAGCCTCTCTGCTCCAGAGAAGTGAATATAGCACCCAAAGAACATTTATCTCAGTGTCCCTCAAATTTTATTCATTTTGTAACTATCTAACTACCTTTAAGTACTAGATTATAGGCTCCTTGAAGGTCTTATCATTTCCTTCAATCACCTCCTGCCTTATTCATAGGGAGGTGATCAATAAACATCCGTTGATAAGAGGCCAAATAAATGAGCATTGTGCACTTTCCTGTATATTTAATATTTAATTAGATATAATACATAAAAGAATCTATCTAACAGCAGGCACTAAATGAGCACCATTGACTATGTGGTTTAACTGTACCATTCTAAGCATCTCCACACTGGTCTTTGTCCTTTTTTTACCTTGTAGGTGATCACTGACTTGGCAGGTTATCATCCACTTCCCAGGATTCTCAACTATCATTTCTGTTGTCAGAAAGGTGGCTGGGAACAGGTTGACAACATCAGTCCGGTGCCCTCTGCTGATGAAGGTGTTACCATAGAAATAGATGGAATGGATGTCTATCTCATTCCCCATCCCAAACAGGTGCCAGGACACCGATTCACCAACACACATTTCAGGCTCAGGGAAGTTTCCAAAGAGGTATCCATTGAGGGCTGAAAAACAGAAGCACAGTAGTGTCGGGGACTCCCCTGCAGAGGCGAGGGGAACCAGAAACGATGGTAATACACTGTCTAGCACAGCTGGAAAATCAGCACAGATCATTGCTTGTAATGAATTTGTACAGAAACGCATGGCTCCCTTCATAAAATATAGTCCCAGCAAGGAATGAAAGGCATTAGTCTTTTCAAGAGAAAAGCACGCAATCAAAGTGAAGATCAGCACACAGGAAAACAGCCTGGGAGCTGCTATGTGAACACAATAATGAGATCAGGAGGAAACAGAGCCTGCTCACATCTCCAGGATGGCTCAGCCACCTCCGATGGAGCTCCTTCATTTGCATATCTGCCTTCCCCATTGAACTCTGTTCCTCACAACTAGAAACCCTGTCTTGCCTATTTTACAGCAATCAGGACCTAGCAGAAAAGCTGGCTTTAGTAGCTACTTAATTTACGTAATAAAAGCATGCCCTAAGGAGGAAAGGAAAAAAACTGATTAGAAGGGACTTATGAAATGTGTTAAAGTTTTGCTACTTTAAAAGCAGGGAGTAAAAACAGTTTTTACTAGGTCTTGCTGGAGGAGAATCTTACTGATTGAACTTACGCCATAAGTTCAAGACCCAGTATCTTTGAGTCATCTAAATGGCAGTAGGGACTTCACCAAGTACAAAAAAAACTTGTTTTGGGCTTTTAAAAAATCATAACATCACTTCTTAAATTCAAACTGAGTTAAAAAGCGATTGTTACTGAGATAATGATTAGGCAGCACAATTAATTTGAATAACTTTAGTAAATTTAAATACACTTATCAATAAATCTTGTATTGATTGAACATCTTCTATAGACTAGTTTGGCTTTTTTTAAAGGTAATTTTTTCTGTTCTTGGTTAGGTCTCCTTTGCCTGTCTGAAGAAAGATTGGTAGTTTTCAAATATCTACTTCGGCATACAGACTGATTTTTACTTTAAATGTAGTCTATATTTGCTTATGTATTTCATTCCTTTTTGTTGAATATTTTTCACTCCAAAAGAGTAAGAGGAATTATACGGGCAGCTGAGTCTTCAATCATTACAATTAGCGGTTTTCAGCACGGTTTGAGATCACCACTCCCGTTACGTCAAGAACGGGGAGAAAAGTTAACTGGTCGCAGCAATGATTTGAATTGAGGTCTTCATTTCTTCCATCCTTCACTTGTCCCCTGCCTCCCTCCCTCCCTTCTCTCCTCTCCTCTCACATCCTTCCCTCCTAAAGTATCCTCCAAGCATCCACTACACCCAAGGTTGCTGAAACATCACTAGAAGGAAAAGAGGGCATGTGATACAACAGAGACAGTCAGTGTACCGACAATCATGCCTCGAGGCACTTGGGAATCAAACAAAACCCAATTAAAATTTATTTGCTATGGCGTTGGAGGAGGTCATCGAGAGGACACGACCGTCAGGTGACCCGCAAGGTGAACCAGGCAGTGGGGTGTTTGTTTATACTGAAGATTGTCTTTATGTTCACTAGAACTCTCTAGGAAAGAGTGGAAGGAGACTACTCAATAATTCCCACATCCTGAAACTCTGCATTAAGCCACTGCTGCGCAAAACAGGATGGGCAAGTGTTCTGTCTCGACTGACAGGATAACTATAGAAATTCACTACTTTCAACAGATACAGGGTCTGGTGCATAATAAATCTTGTTGATTTAAAGAATGTCTGGGAAACATAACAAATTCACCAGTGTATATTTAAACCCCATGCATAGCATAGTTCTTAAAATTTAGCAGCCATCCGAAAAATGGTTACTGGATAAAGCAAGAGGTTGCAAACCATAGCACTATTATACGATGATGATTTCATTCTCAGTCTCCTGTCAATCCCCATCCTCTGGGCTCGGCTCCTGATTCTTTCCCTATTACAACATGAATCCTTCCACTTTCTGTATCACAGCTTTGTCCATATTTCATACCCAGTTAAGCTTTAGCTTATCTATTGCCCTGTCCCTCCTCAGATTGTTTTGGGTTTTGGCATGTATTGTGTTTCATATCACTTTCCAGTTAATCAAGTATAAATCTTGGAAAACTAAGTTTGACACTTCTGTGTTTATTGCATCCCTGGTAGTACCAGATATGGAAAAGGCACTCGGTACATATTCGATCACATGGGAGACACTCACCATGCATTTTGTTACTTCTCTGGAAGACAGCGTCTTCTTTGTCAACTGAATCAGGGTCAGTGCAGAAATGTCTGATATTTTCATCGAGGTACCAGCTTTGATTCTCATCCACCAGAGTAAACATTATAACAAATTCTCGGTCTACATCAGTCCTTGTCCCTGAATATGTATTCAGCATACCTATCAGGCACATTCAAAAGAGTAGAGAAAAAAGTTCAAGGTGGACTAAATCAAGATGAGCTTTTGGGGCAGCCGGTGGCATAATGGTTAAGTTCATGCGCTCCACTTCTGTGGCCTGGGGTTCACCGGTTTGGATCCTGGGTGCGGACCTAGCACTGCTTGCCAAGCTATGCTGAGGCAGCTTCCCACATAGAAGAACTAGAAGGACGTACAACTAGGATATACAGCTATGTACTGGAGCTTTGGGGAGAGAAAAAAAAAGAAAAGAAGAGGAAGATTGGCAACAGATGTTAGCTCAGGACCAATCTTCCTCACCAAAAAGGATAAAAAAAAAGATGAGCTTTGCTTCCTGCCAATGGTGTGAGATAAGTTTGAAGTTTGTCAAAGACCTGCATGTACAGGAGTACGTAAAAGCAGCAAAGGGCTTTAATGGAAATAACAGTACCATAGAAGAGAAAAGTCATAAAACAGAAATCTTCACAACTGCAGCCTCAAAAACCTGGCTATCCCTAAACGAAGTCAATTTCATCGATAGAGCACAGATACACTAAATTGACTAATTTGGACTAAAATAGCAAAGTGATTATGTGGGTGACATAATGAAGCACAAGCATCCTGGTCATTTGACTACCTTTGGGTGTCAGTGTGGTATGAACAGCTATTAACACGGAATATTCCTTAAAAATATATGTGTAAGTTTCAGAATGCTATGATGGTTCTTAGGCAGAAGACTGAATTATTGCCCCTGCTATGAGATCGTATTGATATTCTATGTTAGAATACAATTTTCCTAATTCTTTAAGAAAATTTGGAAGAAGAGGCACATTCTGTGTGGCACAAGGGAGGTAGGCAAGACAAGACCTGAAGTTCACATCCACTTTTCAAGACACTTGGTAACAGGCTCCTGGGGGGTTGAGGAAGGGGGTGAGGAGCCTCCTTACCTTCTTTGCATACCAACAGTGGGCCAATTAGCCCAGAGCAGATGTCCTTAGGGGCGTCAATGTGCGAATGGTACACCCAGGTCAGGCAGTTGGCATCTGCAGGAGCAGGGGCATATTCTTCTCTCACTGGCCAGACGTAGGTGTAGTTTTTGCCAGGAGGAACCATGTCATCATTCTTGTTCCTTCCAGACGTTCCATCTGGGTAGAGGGCTCCTTCCAAGAAAGGAGAAAACCTGGTTAAAATATAGAGATCGCATGCTATCGTGGAGAACCAGAGCTTTGGAATCAAACACGTATGAATTAAAACTTATTTTGCTATGGGACTTGAGGCAAGTTGCTTAAATTCTCAGTGTCTCAGTTTTCTACCAGCAAAGCTGGAATGTTGAGATCCACCCTACAGGAATGTGAGAACTAGATGAGGCAACATATGTGAAGTGCCCTGCACAGAACCAGATGCTTAATAAATGTCCTTAAAGAGCCCTTCTGATGGGCTTCCTGTACCAGTCAGAGAGATTTCAATTCACTTCACTCCTCATCAACTCACGAAGGAAAGGAGAAGCAGCAGTGGAAATAGTGAACTTCTGGGGCACTTATTACAGACTCAGCGCCTGTGTGAGGTCTCGTGAGAGATAGGAAGGAAGAATAAGACATTCCTCCTGCCACCAGCGATCTTAGACTTCTGTTGGGCAAACCGGAATATGTATTATGAACACATGGGACAACTGGAGAATAAAGTAAGGTGATGTGCTGAATGTAATTTTGAGCCTGTGCAAGGTGGAGGGTCTACCGCAGAGGGAGTAGGGGCGAATGGGCAGAGCACTCCCTTCCTCTGTTCTATCAACTACGATTGCACAAGACTTTTCAATTAAGGAAAGTCCACTGCCAAAAACAGTTCAAACACCACCTGGGCATAAGGCGGGAGACCAATGTGTATATGTTATAATTATCAGAAGCTTCAAAACAGAGTTGGGATTTGAGGAGCCTTGAAGGACTGGGAGGAGCTGGATGGTACTGAGAAGAAGCTGGAGGGTGAGAGGCAGAGAGAGAGATGGATGTGGACTCACCCCAAGTTCATTCTCCATTCTTTCATTTGTTTACTAATTCATTCGACAAACCTGTATTGGATGTTGACCACATGCCAGCAAACGTGCTAGGCCTTAGGAATACAAATCCAAATGAGAAAGCAAGAGCCAGTATAGCCAAGGCAAGCCAAAGAAGGATATAACTAAAAAATATAACATCGTCGGGGGTCGGCCCGGTGGCGCAGCGGTTAAGTTCGCACGTTCCGCTTCTCGGCGGCCCGGGGTTCGCTCGTTCGGATCCCGGGTGCAGACATGGCACTGCTTGGCAGCCATGCTGTGGTAGGCGTCCCACGTATAAACTAGAGGAACATGGGCACGGATGTTAGCTCAGAGCCAGGCTTCCTCAGCAAAAAGAGGAGGACTGGCAGTAGTTAGCTGAGGGCTAATCTTCCTCCAAAAAAAAAATATATATATATATAACATTGTCTTTTTAACAAATTCTACCATGAGCCAGGCTTCCTCAGCAAAAAGAGGAGGACTGGCAGTAGTTAGCTGAGGGCTAATCTTCCTCCAAAAAAAAAAAAATATATATATATATATAACATTGTCTTTTTAACAAATTCTACCATGAAAACAGAATTTAATTTTTGGAAAAGGATGCCAGGAAAAAACAACAGCTAAACCCCTATTATGTGATACATATAGTGGGTACTTCGTGTTTATTATCTCACTCTTCAAGCCAACCCCATATGGTAGGTATTAGTATTCGTTTTTACATTAAATTAAGTAACACTGCCAGCAGGTGGCTGGGCCAGATTCCAGTCTAGTTGTGTCTGACTTCCCACTACACCATGATAACTCCCCGCAAATTATTGGGGATATGATGTATGGACTATTTTTACATATTTATTCACCTTATTTTTACATACTTTCTTTTTATGTATATGTTTATGTAAGACTTTCTTTTGCATGCTGGCATTTAATTCCTTTTATTCTGACAAGAATAGGAATCATTTTGCAAATTAAACCGATATCCTGTGTAATACTCAAAGGTAAGGTCAGAGAGCAAAACCTATACAAAGAAAGCAAGAGATGAATTTAATTAATTAGACCCTTTCAGTATTAAGTGTAGCTCTGACTTTCCTGGTTATATTTAGGTCATACTGATATATAGAGGTTTACAATATATATTATGTTTTTATAACTAGGTTATGCTGTTTCTAATAAAAGGAATCTTATCAGTTCCTTAAGAGAAAGGAACTTTTTGAGGCCAGCCTGGTGGCATAGTGATTGAGTTCGTGCATTCCACTTTGGTGGCCTGGGGTTCGCAGTTTGGGATCCTGGGCGTGGACCTACACACCACTCATCAAGCCATGTGGTGGCGGCATCCCACATACAAAAAAAAAAACAAAAATAGAGGAAGATTGGCACAGATATTAGCTTAGCAACAATCTTCCTCAAGCAAAAGGAGGAAGATTGGCAACAGAAAAAAAAGAGGAATTTTTTGCTGGTACTAAATTCTAAGAGAATATTTTCAAGAAAGCCATTTTATGCAAATTATTGAGTAATATAATGAATTATGTCTTTGATGTTTTCAAGAATGGTTTCCAAATGTGCAAAACTATTCTTTCTAAAAATAATTTCTTTCCTCATCTCTCAGTATAAGGTGAGACTGTAACATTGAAAAGTATTTGACAAAACCATTTTTACTCAAAGTTAAACTAATGTATTTCACTCCTTTCTAATTTGATAACTGATCTAACCTGATAGAGGAATAGGGAAAATCCAGAGTGCTACCCACCATTCATTAAATCCAAAAGGCATTTAAAAAATTCCTGTGTTACCTAGCCTCTCAGAGACATTTGATATTATTGTCGTTTTCCTCCCTCTTAAAAAGTTCTCCTCGCTTAGCTCCTGTGACATCACACTGTCCTCTCTGGAAACTCTTTTTCAATTTAGTTTTCCAGTTCATTCTCCTCTATTTGCCATTCAGTGTCAGAAATCCTCAAGGTATAATGCTGGCTCCCTTCCTTCCATGCCCAGAGCACCCTCCCTGGTTAATAGTACCCATCCCTGCAGTGCACCATCAGCTTCATGTCAGAGACTCCCACTTTTATCTCCTGCCTGACCTGACCTCTGAACTTTGCATTGATATCCTAATGTCTACTGGACATCTCCACTTGTAAATCTCAAAAAGATCTCAAAAGCAATCTTTTCCAAAGAACACTGGCCCTCCTCTCCCAAACCTGGTCCTCAACCACTGCTTCCTGACTCATGAAAGGCATCACCAGTACTCAGTGTCACAGCCAGAAACTAAGGAAACAATCTTATCTTCTTCCTCTTCCTCTCTCCCCATTTCCAAAGCACCATAGGTCCTGTCCTTGCTTCTTCTCAAATTCATCCATTTATATCCATCTCCACCATCATGACTGTAGTCCAAACAACATCATCTCTCATCACTCGACTTCTGCAGTGACCTCCTCGCTGGTTTGCTGCATCTCTTGCCTCTCTAATCCATTTTCCAAGTCAAAACAAGAGTTATCTTTTCAAATCTCAAATCTGATTATATTGCTCCCTACTTAAAATGATTCCATGGTTCCCCATCACTCTTGGGATGAAAGTCAAATGTGCTGAACATGGGTTGTAAGGTCCAGCATGGTCTGGCTCAGGAAATCTTGAACTCCCTGGACCAGGTCAGTTTTCTAAAATGCATTCACTCAGAGAGAAGGGCAGTAGAGCCAGTGGTTAATTCACAGCCACTGAAGTGAGACTGCATGGAATAAAATCCTATCTGCATCACTTGCTAGCTATGCGACTTAGGCGATTTCCTTCTCTTCTCTGAGTGTTAGCTCCTTATCTGTAAGATGATGATAATTATAATCCCTTCCTCATAAAGTTGTTGAGGCTTACATGACATAATATCTATAAAACATTTATCATGGTGCCTGGTATATAGTAAGCATTCAATAAATGTTAGTTATTATTTACTCATAGCATTTGCCTAATTTTTTAATATTATATATATGTGTGTGTGTATGTGTATATATATGGTATAATTGCTGAACATTAGTTGTTCTCATACTCCTGGATAAACTTGACACTGTGTGCAAGCAAAGAGGAGAGGCAAAGGGCCCAGCAAAAAATAAATGCCAAGGCAGACAAAAAATGCCTGAACTTTGAGTGTATTTCCTATCCACCTGTGGGTCCAATGGCAGAGAACAGAAGACTTACTGATGCTGAAGCATAACCTCTGTCCAGTCATTTGCTGACCTCTAAGCTAAGCAGATATAGAGGTGACCCCTAGCAGCCAGGCTTAAAAATAAAAGCAAGAAAAAAAAAAGAGCAGAAACCTTAGTGGCCACACCTATAGGGAAGACAGATTTCACAGATTTAGCCCAGGCAAGTTACTAAACAAAAAAGCAAACAAACAAACAAAAACAAACTTGGATGAGACAGCAATCCAAATCCAGAATTGCTACAATATATTCTCAATAATGTCCAGTGTTCAACAAAAACATCCGAAAAAATGAGACAGGCAAAGAAATAGGAAAGGGTGATACATACTCAGGAAAAAAAGCAGTCAATAGAAACTATCTCTAAGTGTATCCAGATGTAGAATTTAGCAGACAAAGACTTCAAAACAGCTAGTATAAATATGTTCAAGCAACTAAAAGAAATTCAGTTTAAATAATTAAGGGAAAGTAGAACAAAATGATTCAACAAATAGAGAATCTCAATAAGGAGATAGAAATTACAAAAAAGAACCAAGTTGGAGTTTGGGCATTGAAAAATACAAAAAATGAAATAAAACATCCTCTAGAGGGACATGACAACAGATTCAAGATGGCAAAAGAAAGAACTAGTGAACTGGAAGATAGAGCATAGAATTATCCCATCTGAAGAAGAAAGAAAAAAATTGAAGAAAATAAACAGAACCTCAGAGACCTGTGGGACAATATTAAGTGTATTCGTATATGTGTAATAGTAGTCTTCCAAAGGAGAGGAGAAAGAAAAAGGGGCAGAAAAATATATGAAGAAATAATGGCTGAAAAGTTTCCAAATTTGGTGAAAAACATTACACATCAAAGAAGAATAATGAACCACAAATAGAGTAAACACAAAGAATCTACACATAGACACATTGTCAAACTGTTGAAAGAAAAACGCAAAGAGGCAACATTGAAAACAGAACAGAAAAATACTCATCGTATACAAGGGAGCATCAACACAATTAATGGTTGACTTCTCATGTGAATATTGGAGATGAGAAGACAGTGGGATGACCTACTTCAAGTGCTAGGGAAAAAATGCCAACGAAGAAAACTATATCCAGCAAAACTATCCCTCAAAAAAAGAAGGCAAGATAAAGATGTCCTACATAAACACTGAGTGAATTTGTTGCTAGCAGACCTGTCTTATAAGGAATACTAAAGGAAGTCCTTCAGACTAACAGGAAATGACACCAGAGAGTAACTTTAATCTATAGGAAGAAAGGAAAAGCACCAGAAATGGGAAATGTGTGAGTTAATATACAAGACTCTGTTAATATATTTTTCCTTTCTTCTTTTAATTTCTTTAAAAGTCATAAGGTAATATAAAGTACTAAGTATAACATCATATTGTTGGGTTTAGTTAGAGAGAGATGTAATCTATGTGACAATAATAGCTCAAAAGAGGGGGAAGAGGATGGAGCTTTATTGGAGCAAAGCTTCTACGTTTTACCAGAACTAAGTTGGTAAAAATGTGAAGTATCTTGTGATGAGTTAAAATGTATATTATAATCTCTAGGCCAACTATTAAGAAAATAACTAAAAAGTATACAGTTAAAAAAATCAACAGAAGAATATAAATAGTACACTAAAAAATATTTGTTTAACCACAAAGAGGGCAGCAAAGGAGGACCAGAGGAACAAGAAAGACAGAAGGCATATAGAAAATAATTAGCAAAATGACAAATGTATATCAAACCAATCAATAATTACATTAAATGTGAATGTTCTAAATACCCCAATCAATATGCAGAGATTGTCAAACTGGACAACAAAAGCTAACATCCAACCATAAGCAGTCTATACCTTAGATTCAAAGACACAGATAGGTTGAAACCAAAAGAACGCAAATAGTAACAATATGAGAGCTAAAGTAACTCTCAGTAACAGGCAAAATAGACTTTAAGAAAGAAATATTGCTAGAGACAAAGATAAGTATTTTATAATGATAAGAGTCAATGTATCAGGAATATATAACAATTATAAATATATTCATATCTAAGAAAAGAGTCTCAAAACACACAAAGCAAAAGTCGACTTCACTGGAAGGAGAAATACACAACTCAGCAATAATTGTTGGAGATTTCAATACTCTTCTCTCAATAACTGATAGGACAACTAGGCAGAAAACCAGCAAGGATATAGGAGACTTCAACAACACTATCAACCAACTCAACCTGACATCTCTAGAACATTCCACTCAATGACTGCAGAATATACCTTCTTTACAAGAGCACATAGGACATTCTTCAGGATAGACAATAAGCTACATATAAAATAAATCTCAATAAATTTAAAACAACTGATAAGATGCAAAGTATATTCTCATACCACAATGGAATTCAATTTGATATCATGAACAGAAAGAAATCTTGCAAATCCTACAAATATTTTGAAATAAAATAATACATATCTAAATAACCCATAGGTCAAAAAAAGAATCAAAACATAAATTGTAAAATATTTTGAACCACATAAAAATGGAGAAAAAACATACCAAAATTTATGGTATACAGCTAAAGTAGTACATAAAAGGAAATTTAAGCTTTAAACATTTATGAAAAAGGGAAGAAAAGTTTCAAATCAATAACATAAGCTTCTCCTTTAAGAAACTAGAAAATGAAGAGGAAACTAAATTTAAAGCAAGGAGAAAGAAGGAAATGATAAAGACTGGAGCAGAAATCAATGAATGAGAAAACAGAAAAACAATATAAAGTAGATGAAACCAGAAGTTGGTTCTTTGAAAAAGATAAACAAAACTTTATTTAGAAGTTTCTAGTGAGAAAACTTTATCTAGACTGACCAAGAAAGAGAGAGGGCACAAATGACCAAACCAGGAATGAAAGATGGGGCATCACCCTGACCATACAGAAATCAAAAGGATCATAAGGGAATATTATAAACAATTTTATGCCAAAATATTAGACAATTTAGATGAAACTGACAAATTCATAGAAAGAAGCAAATTACCAAAACTGACTTAAGAATAAATTAAAAATTGGAATAGACTTATAATATGTAAGGAATGGAACTAGCAATCAAAAATATTCCCTCAAAGAAAAACACAAGCTGAGATTGTTTCACTTATAAATCCTATCAAATACTGAAAGAAGAAAAGATGCCAATCCTTTACAAAATCCATCAGAAAATAGAGGAAGGAATAGTTCTGAATTCATCCTATGAGGCAAATATTAGCTTGATACCAAAGCCAGATAAAGACATCACAAGAAAAGAAAACTACAAACTAATATTCCTCATGAATGTAGACACAAAAATTCTTAATAAAATATTAGCAAACTGACTTCAGCAACATATTTAGAGAATTATACCACGACCAAATAGGATTTATGCTATGATTGCAACATTGGTTTAATATTAAAAAATAAATCAATGTAACATAACACATTAATAGAATAAAGGGAAGAAAACTCACATGATCATCTCAACAGGTGCAGAAAAGTAATTAACAAAATCCAGTATTTATCAAATTAAAAGCTCTGAACAAACTAGGAATGGATGGGAACTTCCTCATAAAGCATGCCTAAGAAAACTCATGGCTGACATGTTTAATAGGAGGGAGACCGAATGCTTTCTTCCTAATATTGGGAACAAGGCAAGAATATCTGCTCTCACCACTATTATTAAATATTGTCCTGAAGGTTCCAGCCAGTGCAGTAAGGCCAAAGGAAAAAATTAAAGGTTTACAGACTGGTAATTAAGAAGTAAAACTGTCTTTATTCACAGCGATGTGAAGCTGTATGTAGAAAATTCCAAGGAACCTTCTAAACGTCTACTAATAGACAAATTTAACAAGATGGGAGGATACAAAATAAATATACAAAAAATCGATTGTATTTCAATACACTAACAACAAATACTCAAAAAATGAAATTAAGAAAACTATTCCATTTCTCACAGCATTAGAAAGAATAAAATACTTTGGGATAAATTTAACAAAAGAAATGCAAGTCTTGTACACTAAAAACTAAAACATCGTTGGGAGAAATCAAAGACTTAAATTTCATGTTCGTGGACTGGAAAACTCAATATTGTCAAGATGGCAATTCATCTTTAAAATGTAGATGGCAATTTTCCCCCAATTGATGAGTAAACTCAATGCAATCTTCATCAAAATCCCACTAGCTTTTTTTTTTGTAAAAATGAACAAGCTGACCTAAAATTTATATGGAAATACAAAGACCCAGAATAGCTAAGAAGTCTTGAAAAGAAGAACAAAGTTGGAAGACTTATACTACCTAATTTCAAAACTTACCATAAATCCACAGTAATTAAGACAGTATGGCATTGGTACAAGGATCAGCTTATAGATTAGTGGAACAGAATTAAGAGCTCTGAACCAAACCCTTACACTTAGAGTCAGTGATTTTCAATGATAGCTTCTGATTCATTCATCTTTTACTCCCGGGACCCACAGTCAGTCTCTGGCATCTACTGGATGTTCAAAGGAAGGTTTATAATTGAAGGCAAACCTTTTAAAAGCACTGAGAAGAAGTGAATTGGGGGCCCAAAAGCACATGAAGTAAGGACCTGGCCTTTGCTCCAAACTTTACCCAGAGTTCCTCTGGCAGAACTAGGAAGGTTAAGAATAAACCTGTATATCTTTTTTGGAAAAATGTCTGTTCATATCCTCTGCCCATTTTTTTTCTTTTTCTTTTTTTTTTTCTGAGGAAGATTAGCCCTGAGTTAACATCTGCCACGAATCCTCCTCTTTTTTGCAGAAGAAGACTGGCCCTAAGCTAATATCCATGCCCATCTTCTTCTACTTTATATATGGAAGAGCTGCCACAGCATGGCTTGAGAAGGTGTAGGTCTGCACCCGGCATCCGAACCAGCGAACCCTGGGGCTGTCAAAGTGGAACGTGTGAACTTAACTGCTGCACTACCAGGCCAGCCCCACTCTGCACATTTTTTGATCAGGTTGTTGGTCATGAGCAAGAGTGCAACAGGGGATGTGAAAAATACTTTAGTCTCAAAAGCCTAAGAATGTTGTTTAAAATTTTTTAAAAGCAGTAGGGAAGACTCAAGAAACCATACTATTGAAACTCTTAAAGCACACACAAGAAGACTATATTTTCCTTCAGAAAGGAAGCACTGAAGACAGGAGCCGTAAGCAGGGAAGTTGGGATCAATTTACACTGAGACACGATCCCCACAGCCAAGCCTGTTACTGGTGATGGGACACTGGAACCTGTTGGTGCCTGCTGCTCTTTATCCAGTGTGCCACCCAGTCATGACTGATGGACAAAGAAGGACGTTAGTGTGCTTCTGGGGTGCGGTGGGGCATGTGCTAAGGGCGCCCAGAACCCAGTTCTGTATTAACATAAAAAAGAGTGAGAAAGGAGGGAGGAAGGAAGGAAGGGAATAAAAAAGGAAGACGAGAGAGAGGAGGGGGGACAGATGGAGAGAGAAGGAGACTGGGAGAAGACAATGAACACGCATAACCATTGTGCTCTCAGAAACCCTTTCGCTGTAACTGACAGCTGCCTTACACTGGAAACAGAGACAAGACACCGATAATACAGGATTGACATTTACCTTCTGAATCTTTGTTGTAGAAGACTCCATGTGGGTGCAGAGAGTAAGGGCGGGAGGCAAAGTTCTTTAAATGGATGACGATCACATCACCCACTTCAGCCCTCAAGATGGGGCCCAGGAATCCAAGCCAGGGAGGTTTGGGGATCTCCGTGGAGTAGGTCTCATCTGTGTAGTGTCTGTAAACAGCCTTTTTGTAAAGACTGCCTATCCTGTTGGGCCCTCTTTCGAGAAATAAGGTTGCAAGTCTAAAAGTAAGAAGAAAAATATTCTATAATTAAAATTAAAAGAGAAGTCCAAATAGCTTACCTTAACAGTTCATGAAGTGCTTGCACGTATGAGTTCTCGTTTGGGGTTCACCATAACCCTGTGACCTCTGCAGAGCAGAGAAGATTTTCCTTAAGTTACTGATGAGGAAACTGAGGCTAAGAAAGTTAAGCGACAAGCCAAAAGGCAAAAAGAGTATTCACAACCAAACTAAAACAAAGCCAAAATACTCTAAATTTAGTCATACTGTCCATTTGCCCCTTTTCATTCAACACACTCCCCTTCACTTTTTCATTTAACAAACACTTAATATGCTCTTGCTGCATTCCAGCACTTTGCTGGGTGCTGTGGAGGAATACAGAAGAGTTTGTGTTGTAACAGTGGGAAAATCAAGGCACCACATAGATCAGCTATGATTAAGTAAGTGCCAATTCTGTGGTAGATACAATGGATATAGGCTCGATTTTTATAGGAATATATTCATTCAGAGAAGATTGCTGTGGGTCAAAGAGGTCAGAAAACACCTCGTGAAAAATGAGCGAATTAAGGAGAAGTCGGATTGGATAACAAGTGGAAAAATGAGGACACTAAGCAGGGACAGAGCATGAGCAAAGAGGAAGAAGTACACATGGAAGGAGGGGAAAGCAGGTTATAGGGTGGGCACAGGTCTGGAAGGTGAGGAGTGAGAATTTGGATACCTGTAAAATCTGGGGAAAGACTGACAATGAACTTTAATTCCATGTTGAAGAATTTATCTTAGAAGCACTGAGGGCTCACTGAGGTTTTTCATACAGTGAGTGACATGATAATTGGTGTTTATGGACTATTCTTATAGCACTGGTGTGCAAGTTTTAGAGGAGTCAGGCAAAGGCAAGGGGTAGGAGGGCTGTCAGGAGACCAGCAGGAGGTGGTACAATAGAAAGAAAGGGATGGATGTGAAAAGACAGGATTCTAAGATTTGATGTGACCAGATGCCTTCCTGGGGCCCCAGGGTGAGGGAGAGACTCAGTCCCATGGTCTGGGAGTCTGAGACAATAGCAGCACTGGTGACACCACTTCAGAGGTGGCCTTCTCCTGGGGAGGTGGAACCCTGTTCTCCACTCTCAGACTGTATGCTTAGTGTGGGGCTCCAATCCTAGCTCCAACCCCAGAAGTAGTGGCTTCTGCTTAAGAGAAAGCTTCACTACTCCTGGGCGCAGCCATCCCAATGTAGCTGTGTTCTCTCTGGGGATGAGAGGGAAGTCCCACTCTGGCACATACTCCTATATATGTGCATGCATGCATTATCTCTCGGTTATTGAACAAACTTTAGTCATGTCAAGCCCCATACTCAGTCCTGAGGATACATAGAAAAAAGGCAAAGCCTTGAAGGAGCTCTCATTCTAGAAGGGAGAGTTATGAACACACAGATTATGTTCTGGGGCGTCTAATCTTCTGTGGTTTCCAAGAGGAAATAATGCCTAAGATGGTTTCAAAGAGCAAAGGGGAGTTACCCAAGCAAAGAAGACGGAAAGTGCTGGTGTAACAGACATCTTGGAGTTTTGCCAACTCAGCTCTCACACTCCATTCTTTGGTCTAAGAGCACACTTTCCCCATTCTCATTCTATGTGCTTTGGATGGGGCTCCACCTCCAGCTCTAGAGATGGAGCAAGGGACTCAGCCTAACCTATCAGCACATGAAGTTGCTTCATACGTTGTTGACAGGAAGGGCTTGTGATCCAGGCATGGCCAGTTGGTGTTATTCCTCCCCCAACCAAGCCACCCTGGATCACAGTGATTGGTTCAGGAACAGCCACAGGGTGGCTGGTTGGTTTAATCTAGGGGACTCTAAGGACTTGTAAAGGATCTCTTTCTTGCGCACTTGGAACCAGGCGTGTGAGTCTAGAGCTTCTGGCAACTATATGGCCAACCGAAAGAGAGAGCCTGCTTGGGAGTTGTTGTATGTTCCTCTAATCTCTTAAATTTTACTATTTACTTCTTCCCTCTAATCAACTACTACTTGCTTCTATCACTACTTTCCTTTTCATTTTTCTCTTTTCCATTTATTGTATTTTCTATCCTCTTTTATTCACTTCCAATAATTCATTCTTTCAAAAAAAGTATTAAGCTCTTACCAGATGTCATTCAGACCTTCTCTTTTCTACTCTTTTGCACTCCCACCCTCCAACCTTTTTCTCTTTGTGTTTTTCCCCGTTCTCTTTCTCAATTCTTCCCAATAGAAAGCTATCCCAGCCTTTCCTAAAGGGTGCAATCCAAGGTATTTAAGAGTAATCAGGAAGCTTACTCTGGGTCAGGATGAGTGATTCTTGGAGTTCTGTTCATTTCAGGTCCACAGTGAGTGTCAGAGTAATTCTAGGAGGAGTAGACCAGTTGGATGGAGAAAACCCTTGTAGATCTGTTCTATGACATGGTGGCCCAAAGGGTTTTGAGGCGACTCCAATCTCCCAGGTTCCTCCAGAGTGCCCTGCACCTGTTCCTCCCTGACCTACTTTGATTCCTCCTCTTCCTTTCTGAGTCAGAAGCCTAGGCAGATGCCCTGATTCAGGAGCCTTGTCCTATCACAGGCCCCAGCGTCAGACATGAACAGGCAGAGCTATCAACCCGTAGAACTTTGTTGGAGTTCACCCTATAGCTAGACCTGAGCCACATTCTCATTCTACCCAGAGACAGACCCAGGGGCAGTGATCTTCCTGAGATAGACGTATTTCCTGGACCAGAATATATAAAATTTATATCCCTGTGTGACTGTGTCCCTACGATAGGACAAGCCCTTTACGACTTCTGTGACCACTGTGGATGGGGATCAAAGGGAAGACCCTCCTTGCCCTGTGATAGGCTCTGTCTTCATCTGTCAGCACACGTGACCCCTTTGAGAACTCTCCTGGTGAATCCTACATACATCTCCTCTATTTCAGTCCTGAGATGAGCTTGAAAACCTTTTTACTGACTTCCAACAAGTAAAGATTGAGGACCTAAAGCATGCAAGGTGCAGGGCTAGGTGCTGTTTTGGATAAAAATATGAACAAGACACAACCCCAGAATAAGTAAGTCTATGATCAAAAAGAAGGGACAAAGACATTGATGCCTACTTGAAAGAGACTAATAAGAATTGTAAGAGAACACCATGCTCTGGGGATTTAGAAGAGAGGGAGAAATAATGGGCACTCCAAGTGGAAGGGACAGTTTGAGTAAAATGTTCAGGGTGGGGAAATTAGAGGTCAATTCAGCGAATCTCAAGCAGCTTTCTATGCCAGAAAACTTGACGGGAGTGAAACTAGTAAAATGGGAATGCTGGGTTAAGGCGTTTGAATGTAGTTATATCTGCAACTAAGAGTCACTAAAGATTCTTGGGCAGGGAAATTTGACCAGATCTGTTTCAGGAAGAGAGTTTTGGCAGGTCCCACACCTAACTTCTCTCCATCATACCTGACCATATGATATTGCCCATCTGCTTCTGCTCACTGGACCAAGCCACTTGCTAAGCTTCTACCCTGAATACCTAGTCATGACACCTGTACAGCTGACCAAGGCTCTGTTTAACTTCATACCTGATTTGCGGAATTTTCTTCCTTGAGATCTGACCACAACCTAGCTGAGTCGCCCTCTCACAGTGGCCCAGACGTGGTGTCTGCTTGCCCAGTCTGGTCTGGGTCTTTCTTTGGCCAATGTGGGAAATTTCACTGTCTTTAATTCAAAATCTTTCCCCACTGCTCCTCCTCTCCTTCTTTCTGGGTCTGGCCCAAGCAGAGAATTCATTTGTTGATAGAGCCACACTGGGTCTGATAGTCTCTGCATTAACTAATGGTTTTGTGTTCGCTTAGTTAAGATCAGCACTTCATTAAGCACTATAGATCAAAAAGCTAAGGAAGAGATATTTTCAGGTCTTCATGTTCATTTACTCGAAGAGATTATCAACTGTTCATATATCAGTGACTCAAATACAAGCTTCTAAGCAGTTCCTACTACAAAGCTCCCCCACAGTCTCTAGTATGAATGGCAGTTTTGCCCACTCTGCAGACTTTTCAGGATGATGGAGTCAGAGATCAACGTGTCGAGTAGGCAGGCATCCATCCTGCCATGGAGCAGAAGGTAAAAATAGGAGATAGAGGAGAGCGTGCCTGGGTCAAGCTAGTTAGAAGAATCCAAAGCCTCAAGTCAAAGCAGGAAAAATCTTTGGTGCAAATGGCCCAGCTTTCTTCTCCAGCCTCATTCCTTCCCTTTTTGCCCAACTCCCATGTCCTCATGCTTCTGTCCGGTTTGATGCTCACCCTTGTCAGAACAGACTGTGTCCTCTCAGCATTCCACGAATTCCACACATTCTTTTTCTTATGCCTGGGTGGTCTTTTTCATTCTTGACCAGCCAAATATCCTTTGAGTTCAGTTCAAACTCTTCCTCTTTACCTCATTAGAGCAGAACAGTGCTCTGTTCATGAACTAATAACACACTTGCCAAAATATGTTACAATAAGATATGTATATCCCTGGTTTGTGAGTTCATTGAAGACAAAAATCCTTCAAATATCTTTTTCATTATAATGCTTAGCAATTGCCTAGAAGAGTTGGAGCTTAACAGCTTAGAATTTAAAAAACCTTGAATTAGCCCCCAGATTGGCATTTGAAAAGTGGGATAGTTTTACAGGCTACATTTGCAGAAAGGTGTATGGTATTATATTTGACTTTGAATATCCTCTAGGCCCAGGATGGCAAATAGGTTGTAACTCATGCACCAGATCTGATTGATTGGTAGTGATTGCTTAGGAAAGAAGTCAAGATTGAGTTGAATCACAGGGAAAGAATGCCATGATCCCCTCAAGATGTCTACTGTGGACATGGCTCTGGGGACATACTCAGTACGTAGCTGCTCTCTCTGCTCTACGCAGACAGCCAGGTAGCACGGTTCTCCAGGGTCTTTGAGTGTGGCCTTCTCTACAACTAGAAGCCATAATAATATCACTACTGGCAGAATGTACACTGAGTTGCT